AGTGCATGCTTACACTTTTTCCATGCTTCGTGTCCTCTCAATTCCTCTGGCCAGACTCCCATTTCCAGCACTTTGCGATGGGCTTCAAGGAACACGTTGGCATTCAGAAGGCTGGTGCCACCGAGACCGTTACCCATATATACGTTCTGGCCTTCGCCTACCACGAAGTGGTATAGGCCATTTGGGTTCCCCGCGTCAACCATAGCTCCAGGAATACTTCTTCTGTCGCCGGGAGCGAATTGACCGCTGATGTGAAGCTCCTCCACCGCATCCTCCAGTTTTTCAGGAAACTCACCAGGCCATCTCTCCCTCCCTCGCTCGAGGACGCAGACGCTCTGCCCTCCTCTGGCCATTCGACTGGCGGCCACGCCCCCTCCATACCCTGAACCAATGGCCACCACATCGTAGGAGTCTTGCATGAGCTCTACTGGCATCGAGATACGGGGGAAACGGCTTTGGGATTGTGGTCCGCTATCAGCTCCGTTAGCTGAGTGAGCTTGAGGCTTTCTGGACGGAATTCCATTGTAGGGTGAGCCCCCATTTGGACCATCGTGCACTCCGTTCATCCCATTCACTATGTGCTCCGCACTTCTGATTCCGTCTTGCATTGCAGTTGATTTATCCGTGTTGATAGATTGTCTGTTCTGAGACCGAGTATCTACGGAGGCAGGTATATGATGAATTCGAAATCGAGCAGGGCGCCTTGTCAGCTTATTTCAGGCCTTGGCTTCCGAAAGTAATTCGTAAGAGAAGAGCATGGGGCCGGTCACGAATATGGGATACCTTGCTCACCCATTTCGATACGAGTAGGTCTCCAGTCCGTCACATGTCGCGGCATAGAACAATCGTCATGTTCATACGAAAAAAAAGTTTCTGGGCGTTAATCGACCCCGCCCGCATCGTATAGTTAAGGCTGAACCAACACTGTCGTCTGAAGAGAGTTTCCGCAAGCAGCTACACCACCAGTTCAATGGTGTGTAAAGAAAGGCTGAATTGACTTTGTGGCTGGATGTAAGTAAAGTAACGGTCCGCAGACAATCTGGCATGTTGTGGCTTGAGAATCTCGGCTCCTCAGGCCGAAGAGAATCTAGGTCAATTAAACTCAAGCTTGACGATCCGGGGCCCTTGACTGGTCATCTTGAGGTATTCCGTGGCGCCTCCAGCCATTACTTCATTCGTCAAACCAGGCAAACCACGGGGTTCCCGATCGGTCATCCCGGCGAGTGCGTCAAGTTCTAGGCTGCCACATGAGATGCCTGAGGAGACAATCATTTGACGTCTTGGAAACTATATCTACCGCCATCAACTATTCATACAACGAAACTCAGGAGACCATGTCTCATCACTTTCACAAGCTTTACACTTGACCACTTTGTTGCTAACTTGTCACCATGCCTGCTGGGTCTTGTCAAGTATATGGTTCCGTATCTGGTGAGGATATTAACAGTTACCCCAAATATACTGGTTCGCCCTTGTTGTTGTTCCTCGCTGATCTGTGGCTCTTCCTCTCTAATATCTTCTACCTACCATGCATTTTCTTGCCTCTCACGCCATGGCCATGTGGGAGTCTGGATGAGCTGTACCCTTCTCTAGCCAATATCTTCGACATCTGTCTTCATTGTGTTTTGTTTGTCCTCCAGCTCGTCTTTCTTGTCTCACTCCCATTGTTTATCTGGCTACCATTCGGCATCTACTTTCTGTATATTGTGACCGCTCTCGCCTTGAATACGCTCATCTGCTACGCTTTGAACCGGGGTATCCCAGCAGACGGTCTCAGGTCGACAGAGGATGATTTCTCAAGACGGTGGAATCGCCATGAGGATGAGTATTGGATATTCCTCAATGGAATTTGCGTTGGGTTAGTGTTCTTTTCCATCCTATCTTGTGAGTATAAGACTGACCGAATCAGGAGGAACTGGCTACAGAATAACGTCGACCGCATATCGCGGACATTCCACCGTCCAGTAGTTGGCGTCCACAATAAAACGTATGCTTCCCCATCCTTTGTTAAGGTTCAAACTATCCACATATATGGATGTCTGATAGTGGTTAGAACGGGTGTCATATTTGACATTATCCAATGCCTCATTCAACGTTGTCTGTTGTACGCGACAAATGATGTCCGAGACTGCTACGTGTTGGTTAGAAGAGCACTGTACCGGCCAGAGGTAAAAAAGGTTGTGTTAATACTGCACTCGCAAGGGGGTATTGAGGGCGGAATGATCCTGGATTGGCTCCTTGATGAAGTACCACAGGATCTCATCAGACAACTGGAAATCTACACCTTTGGCTGTCTTGCAAATCACTTCAACAACCCGTATCGCGACACGGCATCGTGTAACGCAGCGATGCGCTATGTGCGCACGGGAGACATCATTGGCAATATCCACAACCGCAGCATCTTACACATTGAGCACTACGCCAACAAACGTGATTTTGCATGTCGATTTGGGGTGCTGAATTTCGACCACAGTAAGCCCCAGGATCGCCGCGAAAATCGATTCATGGGTAAAGTGCTCGTTAGTCCCGCTTCAGGCCACCAGTTCAATCAGCATTATCTTGATACGATGTTCCCACTTGACCCAACCAACCGGTTTACGCGGGAGCCACGGGAGGGCGACTTCATGGACACAGATGTCATAGTAAGTCGGCATGATAGGCGTGAAGAAGATAGACCTGTCACGATCCTAGATGCAGCGGGGCTGTTGGACGCAGGCACTGGGGAAGTAGATGGCACTAGTTTGAACTCGGTACTCTCCGGTAGTGCGCAGAACATGAAAGTTGGGCTGAATATGAATTTGAAGATGCACCAAATGAGCAGATTGTGGCTCTATCGAAATGGTGGCCGTCCAGTCTCGTGAGCTTGCTTTCTATCTGCAGGTGTGAGATAGGCTTTTTGTACCATAGGTTCTTCTGAACGGGAATGTGGGATACTAAGAGCGATTTATACGTAATTTGATCATTGGCCTTGCTATCACAGCAGTCATTGAGTTGTGCAGCTGAGGATAGCTCCAAACTGAAAGTCTGGCTTGTCGCCTTACGCGTACTCAGTAAATGATTGCTTTTGCGATAAAAAAGCCTCGGCTGTCTGGTTGACATAATAGGCCACTGCCAAAAATCCTTCCAATAGGACACTCAGACATTATCCGGTGCCTTTGCACTTGCAGGACACTTTGCTCCGTCATATGGCAGTATATATGTTAAACCGTGCACAAGTCCGGAGATGCCGATAAAATTATGAAGAATCGAGATGCCTCGGCTATTGCCCGAATCGGAAAGCCCGTGCTCCACCGAACCGGCGTGTGAAGGCGGCCTCCTTAACCCCCGCCAGATCTTAAGACTTTCTTCTTCCTTTGCTTCGTGCATATTCCTGTGTTTCAACTCCTTACTTGTCTCGGAGTCGGAAAAGCACTAGATATGGCGGAATCAGCGACTCTTTTCAAACCTCCGCCGTTGGATCCCACCAAGGCGCCCGTTGAGAATGTGTTAGAGCTGACCCCGGTGATTGACGTGGGGAAAGTATGTCTTTCCCTCCCATCTCTTTAGTTCTCGCGAGTCCAACGGTTTTCTCTTTTTCAACAGGATGTGTTCACCAATACGCGACCCCTTTGGCATCCGCCTGGTGCGCGAGGCATCTACGGCGGTGCTGCCATCGCCCAGTCTCTCGCCGCTGCGCTACGAACTGTTCCCGCCGATTTTGCCGTCCATAGCATGCACTGTTACTTCCTCCTCGCCGGTGACTCCGAAATCCCTATACTGTACCACGTGGAGCGAGTACGTGATGGAAGGAGCTATATCACGCGGACGGTACAGGCCAAACAGCGCGGTCGCCCCATCTTCACCACAACACTGAGTTTCAACAAGGCCAACAGTGGCGGCAAGAAGAAGCTCGAGCATGCATCTTCGATGCCAGCTGTCACTCTGCCAGAGGAGCCTGGACCGGGGTCTAAAAGGAGGTTCGAGGAATCGGGCGGTGGGCCATTTGAATCACAGAAAGCGGGGGTTATAGATCGTCAGTCTTCATAGTATGTCGGTAAAGCTTGAGGTTATATGCTGACTGTCTCAGGAAACCGTCCTCCTCAGGAGAGGAAAACGAGACGATTTATGCGGTCACGGGGCAAGATTTCCGATGCGGGTGGTCATCAGGCTCATCTTTCCGCCCTTGCATATATGACCGACAGTTATTTCATTGGCACTGTGTCCAGGGTTCACAACATTCCTCGGTTCTCTTCCCCAGAGGAACTCAAGAAGGCACTAAATGCGCTCAAGAACCCGTCTGACCTAGATGATGAGGATATTGCGCGCGCTCTCAAGGAGCTGAAGGAAGAAGAAACGGCAGATTTACGCCGTCGCTTGGAGGGCGCTTTGCACAGAGTAACTAACCAGCCACCCCAGGAACATAAGGAAGTGGGCATGATGGTCAGTCTTGATCACTCGATCCACTTCCATAACCCTTGGGCATTCCGGGCAGACGAATGGATGCTCACAGAAATGGAGAGTCCTTGGGCCGGTGAGGGACGAGGTTTGGTTCTGCAGAAAATCTGGTCAAAGGATGGAACATTGATCGCTACATGCACCCAAGAGGTATGTGTGTTGAGTGCTTTTACTGAAAGGACATGTCTAATGAGTTGCTTTATAGGGAGTCGTGCGCCTCAAACAAGACGAGCCACCTCGGTCTAAGCTTTGACGACGAGGACACATGCCGTTGACGTCCAGTCGTAGTAGATATACCCGTATTTGTGTATTCTGGAGTAAATTATGTTAGATAGTATAGATTTGGTTAATAGTACATAGTATAGTCGGCAACGAACCGATCATATTCCATCATCTTCAGTCATACCTCGTCGGATTCTTTCGTTGGTCTCTTGGGGCACATCCATATATTACTGGCACCTGAAATGAAATTCACATAGTCCAACTGTAAACATTGGTGCTACTGGATACTATAGTTTTCAATTGAGAGCAAGTAGTATGCTCCTTCTCACATAAAAGGGTAGAAGCGTGTGCATTCTGGGCTGGTCTGAAGTCTCCCAGGCGAACAACTATAATATATCAACAAGATTGCTCAAGTCATGCAGATCGTCAACGGTATCATGAAAATGCAGAATAATACAGACAATAAAGAAACAATGCTTTGACCGGAGACTTTTCAAATCAGACAGCCGCCCATCCGTTTGATGGCCCAATGCAAGAAGCGATGCAAAACGCAAAAAATGCAACAGAAAGCCTCCCATGCGATGGCGTCTTTTTCGCCGCCTTCCCCTTCTTCCCTCCTTCCCTACCTCATTAGTCTTCAACCATTACACCATCATCTTTTCAGGGTCTTGTTGATACATTCGGCTTTTCTTTTCACAGTACTCCAGAGCCTTAGGGCCCCAGACCTCTCTTCCCTTGTATTCACCCACATACTCTGGCCAGCTCTTAATCTCTTTGGCAAGGTTTTGCAGTTCCTGCATCGGCAGCTCGTCCAGAGTTGTCAAGATGGTTTTCACACCAAAGACGAGTGCTCCGGTACGAGGGAGTCGACGGAAAGTTTGCCGCTCGCGACGAATGACAATATCTTGCGGCGTTGGATCCGGATTCTCCTCAGATAGAGAAGTTGGTCGATAGAGGATCTCAAATAAATCTTCATCGGGCCGCTTCACTTCGACGAAGTAGTTTGACCTTTCCATGGGCGATGCCGGTGTGAGCCGAGCCAAGAATCTGGAGTAAGAATGTTAGCCTCTCTCCTTGCTTCTGCAATTCGCCTTTACTGCCAGTCAAAACATCCAGAGTACTTACTTGCTGACTGAGTTGGCAACCTGCTGATGCCACAGTGGTACCGGGTTGTGAAGCTTGGAGATGGTCCACCCAATGCGGTCTTGAACTGTCCAGCCAACGGGGAAAAGGCTTGCGCTGGCGGCGCTATTCATATCGGTTAGTCGGTCTATTTGGATGCGGAAACAGGATTCTAAGACTAACAGATAGTACTCGTCCTCCTCGTTTTTCATCAGAATACTCAGGTCCTCCATCGTCAGTCTGACGGCGATTTCTAGAGGATCGACGTCTTTGTTCTTCCCTCCAAAGCAAAATGTCTCTCCAGTCATCTTGTTGTGCACAGTCGTTTCATCGCCGCACTTTTTCTGTTCGAACACATTGGAGAATCGCTGGCAGAGGAATTCAACTACCTCCTCCAATGCCTCTAAACATGCATCGTATGACTCGGGGAGGCATTGGAGGACCTTGCTCTTCTCTGTCTCCAGCAATTGGCTTCTAACTTCGTGCTCGTCCATATAGTTCTTGTCAACGGTGAGCCAGTTCTCCACGTCCAATTTTCGAACGTCCATCATGACTCGATACCTCTCCCTGCCCTTGATGGGCTGGGCCGGATAAGGAGCCATTTTCTTGAGATCGTTGCAACCCGGTTCTTGGGCATGTTTTGTGCGCCATAACGACGAAAGATTCTTTCGGTATCTGGTGAAGATAATGAAAAGAAGAAAAATCGACAACGCAAGACATGATAGGGTATTCATTGCCGTTGAGAAGAAAGTCCACAGCAAAAGGGAATGAAGAAAAGGGAAAAAGAAAAGAAGAGGATCTTCGATGAAGCTTTTTATTGTTCACGCATACAGGTCTCCACGTCGCAAGTCTGATGGGAAGAGGCAATGGGAGAATTCAACATGGCGAAACTCTCTGCTCCCGGCGAGGACAATGGCTCCAATTATAATCAGGAGAGTAAGCCATAGTCTCAAAGATCATCATTAGGGTCAGACGATTTAGCTACAAGTGGACTACTACATTCCGGATTCAGGGAGCTGGGTTGGGTTCTGATACGTTCTGTCTTTCCCCGCAAAAGCCGCAATTCGCCGCCCCGAAAAAAGAAAAGGAACCTGACAGCATCCACATGATCCCACTGAATTCTCAGCATTCATTTCAATCGAGCTCCACTGGGTCTTAGTGGTAAACGCGGGGGTGAGGATCCATCAGAGAGTGAACTCTATGTGGACGAGAAACTCAAACCATGCGCAGGTCCGTCTCCGCCCTGGATCCGCAGCCCGGCCCATGTACTAGCTGCTGGATGTCACTTCAATTGCGACGGTACCGGTGCCTACTAGTCTTGATTTGCCTGGATGGGAAATGGTACTAAGTTAACGCGCTTACTCACATACGAAAGAGTACTAGGCCGGGCAAGGGTTGTGACAGAGACAATAATACCACTCCCTACTTCCATTCTTCCTATGGAATCGTCAGGCGGAGCTCACGCGTATATCGTCCGTGCGCGCGCCCATTGGAAGACCTCGTGAGCTGAACCCGATCGGATCCTAGGGGAAATGATTCCCCTGTCTAACAGGTTCCTGCGGTTCCGCCCCAGCGGTATTCGTCTTTTTTTTCTTTCCCGGGGCAGACGCAGCGACATCGAAACGGGGACATCGTACTTGATGGAATTACGAAATGAGAAAGAAATAGCGCAGTCCGGTATGTTGGGACCACCTCCGGGGACCAGTCAAGCATGTCTTTAGACCGGAGTGCATGAAAATCATACATCATCACCTGTGCAACAGAGGGCACGATGACCGAAGGAAAGCGCGTGGGATGCTGCGTGGGCCGGCTTCCCACTCGGTACCGAGTGGGAGGAGGGTCATCAGCTCCCAGCGTAATGGCAAATAGACGTCCTCTTAGCCGGCTATGAAATTCTACGGACCTGCCTACCATGCTGGGGATGGAAAGAAGGCACCGCTTGGTCTCCATCTGTTTCGAGTGACGTGCTGGCAGTCTAGTCATTCCAGTTGCTGCGACTGGTCAGTCGGCTCCGGCGCAGCGATGCCACTATATTGGAGCTAAGTCGTTAAGAGAAAGCCCCAGGTCGGCACTGACGTACTGTGAGGTGTCCTTGCAGTCCTGCCAGGCCTCTGGCGCAGACTATACGCTACTCATCCGCTAGTGGAATTCTACTTACTGTGTTGGGACGTGCATCCCATCCATAGTAAGTTGATGCTCAGCGTGGGCGTGATGGAAAATTATGAAATAACCTGACGGGCGATCCACCTCCGGCACGAGTCCAGAATCTACTCTTTTTGTTTTTTTCTCCACTCTTCCTAAATGAGCCCATCTGGGGTTTTGCGCTGCAACCGCCCCAGTTCGCGCAAAGCGCGCTTGCCGCAGGTCCAGTTTAATTGGGAACTAATTATCAGTGTCCGTTACGTTTGCTCTTCTCAATGTGCGACAAGACGGCGGTGTCTCAAGAAAGAATGCGTCTTTTTCTCCCACTCGTCTCATCTAGCTGGCTTTTGAGTCTTTTTTTCCTTTTTCCACTTTTGGTTTATCTTTTACGTTGCTTATGCCGCGTTTCTTTGCTTTTCCTCTCATTTCTTTTTTTGATTTTTGATTTTCCCATCCTCTCTATACTCTTTCGGGATTGCTTACTTTGCCCCTTCCATCATTGTTGGGGCGATCTCAGATTTCCTCCGCCAGAAGATCAAGGTTAATCACCCTGTTTTCTTGCATTTCCTTTTTCTTTTTTCGGGTTCTCCTCTACAGTTTGTATTCGTCACATCTGTCCAAATTCATCCACCGAGAGTATCAAATCCTCCGAGACACAGCGGGCTCTCGGACCGAAATGGACTTTCATTGCCCCCAACTTGCTTTTTTGTACGCCAGCTCGCCGATAGCAACGATGGGACAGTGGGGAGTCCCTAGTGTCTACTGCCTTGACTTGACGACGACGCTCTAAGTGGACTGACTGGCTTGCGGACCCAAAATTGTCTGCCTTTCGGCACAGCCTACTATCTTAGTCCATACGGTACAGGCCAAAACTCATGTCTAGACTCTCTAGGCCTCAGAAAAACACCGGCGCACGGTGTGGTAACCCACCTTTCGTCAGTGATCGTCGAATGATTGAAGAGGGATTTGCAAGAATCTCGGCGGGCCATACGGCATTACTCCGTAGCGACGGATTGACTCAGCTCAGGCCTAGTCTGAGTCTTTGGGAGCCTACTAAGTCGAGGGCTCCTCTTTCTGGACCACGCCATCGGAGTGGACGAGGAAGCTGCAATTCCGTGCTGTGGGACTCGACTAGGCCCAAGTTGGGTCCAAGTCCCAAGAGGATCGACTCACCGTGCACGGACGGCTATGCCGGTCCTACCATGGTGGTTCTCCACGATTCTCCGCATGGCAATGAGACTTAGTTCTAGGTCTACACCGGTCTTAGTAACTGATAAGCCACTGGCCGGTCGCCCTAAAGGGCAGCTTGTACGGTAAGATATTCGTACTTGTGTCAGGGCGTCTTACCCAGCCTCTGGGACCAGAAGTACAAGACCGGCTACCACTCGGGCTTAGATCGGGGAGGGCGTGTCTCGTCTCGTAGAGGGAGAAAGTAGTCCAGATGGCCAGGGTTTACTGCCGCCGTTGCTGAACGGGGCTCTAGTGGCCTTGGCTTTTTCAAGGCAGCTGAACAGGGCGCTGCCTAGATCTTAGTAAGATGATGAAATCGATTGAGCCGACGGAACACAGACGCTGCCACGAAGGGGGAAGACGCCCAACAGACAGGTTTGGAGGGTCTCCTCGCAGTAGAGTGAAAACGTGGATGCAGTGGCCTTCCTGTTTGAGCGATTTGGAAGCCATCATGTGATCCAGCTGGTGAATGACCCCTGCATCATGTGATTGCAAGGAGGCTCGCTCCAACGTCCATCCCAACGCATCTTCCCCTCCTCCTTCTTTCTTCCCCTCGTCCTCATCCCAGGGAGCAAGCAAGCACTTCGCCCCAGCTGTGTCACCCCCCTCGTTGTTTCATCCTCGGATCCAACGAAAACTGCCACTGCAGGCTCATCACCAAGCCTCTCCACTCCTCCCAATTGGGTCATCTAGGCTGATCGTGAGGAACGTGTCTCTGCACTGCACAACCATGACTTCCTCAGCAAATGTTTCTACACAGTCCCCTCCGCTACCAGCTGATGCGGATGCCCCGCCAACCTTTCAGGAATGGTACTCCTTCGATGCACTCTCCAACTGTTGGAGCCCACTTCCACCCACTACCTCAGTGACTTGCGATGAGAGCACAATGCCAGCCTCAGACAAAGCGAAACTGAAGATATTTGCACTTAACCTTGTAACTTGGAATGTAGATGCCTCCGCCAAGTTTCCCGATGACCGTATGGCCGGCATCATTTCCACCATACGCAATCAAACACCCCCACCTAACATACTCTTCTTCCAAGAAGTCCCTAAGGCAGCACTGTTTTACCTCCTCAACGAACCCTGGATTCGCGAGAATTGGTATTCTAACGAGGGGGACCTCAGCAACTATGGGGGTCTCGCATTCATCACCGTGATACTCTTATCCAAAGCCAGTTTCAGTACAGACAGTCAGGACCCAGACAAAGCATGCCTCGGACCAGTCTGGCGAGTTGATTATCCAAGTAAGTTTGACCGAGACGCCCTCTGCTGTGATATCTTCATGCCACAATCCGCTACCCGTGTCCGTTTGGTCAACGTGCATCTGGACTCTCTTGCTTTCCAGCCAAGTTGTCGTCCGCGGCAGCTCGCCATCGTTGCAAGTAGTCTCCGTTGTGCCGGACATGGCTTCGTCGCAGGAGACTTCAACCCTGTCCTCCCAGAGGATGACAGTCTCGTGGCCACCAACGGTCTGGTAGATGTGTGGAACGAGCTGCACCCCGACGAACCGGGCTTCACCTGGGGTCTTGATGGTCGGGAACCTTTCCCTCCAGGACGGTTGGACAAAGTGGCCGTTCTTGGCCTGAAGGGGCAAGAGATGGACATTATTCATCCCAGTGCAATCAACAGCGCGGGACAAGGTCAACTGCTACGACAATTGGATACCCCCATGCCTTGGAGTGACCATTCAGGTCTAAAGTGCTGCTTACGTCTTGCTAAAGAGCCCTTGTAAGCATATCATCAAACATTCCCTCTAGTCTCTCTTTCTCTTAGCTACTCTATGCATTCACCTCTTGAGTAAGGACACACATCTTCCCAGGCTCCCTCCCACCACCCACACACACGTGGCTCTACCATCCATTCATTACTATTCCATTAACCCCAACTGGTCCGACGCACCTGTCTATCACTGTATGCGTATAATAGGACAAGACAAGACAGGAAGGACATGGCTATCTCCCATGTCCTCCCCAATGCATATGTCTATCAATGCATCCAATTAAGCACCCCACATTTGCTATATACGGTAGTTGTGACAGCTTCATTTGTTAGATACGGATAATAAATAGGGATGCCTTGATCCATTATCCTCCCCAATGTACATCTATCAATGCATCCAATAAGCACCCCACATTTTCTATATACAGTAGTTGTGACAGCTTCATTTTTTATCTACGGATGATGGATGATGGATGCCTTGATCCCAAACCAGCCACCAGCGTCAGACGTGCATGAACGTACACGTCTATGTTATCCGTCTTCTTTGAAAAGGAACTACGTGGCTTATCTTGGTTTCCTACTCTAGAGAGCGTGAGAAGCAGTCTTTACCTAAAGAAGAAGTAGTTACTCCAGGTACTCCCTATGGATTATGGAGATGCCTACTGTATGGTTGTTCATAATGGTGCCCAATAATTACCATAGTACTTCATACCGAGGTTCCTGATAATATAAGCATGACGGGGGAAAAAAATAACTCAATGTCGGACAATTTCATAACCAATCATGTAGTCCCTAATATTGGGTATATGCACCTGGACGGTAATTATTGACCTGTCTAGTACAGTAGTAGTCGGCCCGGAAGAATGACTAGGTCCCGAAAGTGACAGCGGCGGTGGAAGAAACCATCATGGATAATTTTGCCATTATGGGATTAAATAGAATTCATCAAAAAGCTCATCCAAAGAGGTATCCAGGGGAATAAGAAAACACAGACAATTGGCCCCAAAATCGGTGGGGCTCGCAACAAAATGATCATGTCCAAAATCGTCCACACGGACGCAAGCTCAAGCATATAAAACGCCCTCCCAGTGCAGTGCTGATCATCATTGGTGTATCACAAAAGTTGGGACTTCCACATTCAACCCGATTTGTACTCTCGGTCGGTTCTTTTTTCGGACCATCCATACAGGAACGCTCTCTGCTGCCTGCCTGCCTGCCTAACCCAAGCAGGGCGCCGTCTACCTGAATTTGGCCCGGCACCGACCCATCACTTCGCCCTGACAGACAAGCTCTGCGCTGAATTCACTACCATCTAGTGTGAGGTAAATGTCAAAGTACACTCGGTAAAAAGTACCCTGAGGCGTGTCCATGCGCTCGAAATCGGTCTCCAAGTTTTTACGGGACAGATCGGAGGTGAGGGTGACGACTTCCTTGATACCTGCATTCAACGTTAGCACCCCATCAACAAGGCAGCCAGTCCGAAATGCAACTTACGTGGATCCTTAGTGTACTCGGGACAAACATCCTCATCGCACGCGTACAGAATATCCTCGTACATGAGGGTCGCTCCCGGCGCAACCTGCCGGAAAAAGCTCACCTTGACAGGCTCGCCGATTTTCACCCGCTCGCCCTTCTGCACGAAAATTTGCCTTGTGTACTTGCATCGGTCGCGGCCGTCAAGACTAGGAACACGGTATTGCTCGGGGTGATATCCTTCCTTGAAGGGTTGCAGCGTGGCCATCAGGTAATGGCGTCGTGCTACACGGTGCGTAATCACCCGCTCGGTGATTCCGGCAGTTACGGCACCTTTGACGATGGCAGCGACCGAGTCCATCGGTCGGACTACCTTGGACTGATATTGTGGAGGGACGTGGAGCTTGATCTGCTGGAAAAGATACTCCGAGGCACCGAAACCACCAACAACAAGGACGTTCTGCATTTCTGGTTAGCTTTCCAATGCAGCTGGGCGGACGGGGTGGTGGGTACAAACCTGAAGTGACCTGTTCTGCGCTTGGATCGCTATGATTTGATTGCGCACCAGCTCAAGGATCCTATTCACGACGGGCTCGAAGCATTGCAGGATCTCCTCGTTAGTGAACGTCATGTAACCCTCCTCGATGCCTGCGTCGGGGAAGTCGGCTTCAATTCCGACATCCACTGCCCATTTCTGGCCATTGTTGCGGAAGTCGGCCTTGATCCGATTCTCAAAGTCCATGATACATTTGGCATAAACCTTGCCTGCCGTGCGGGAACCATCCGGCAATTTCATCTTGCGAATCTTCGCACGGAGAATGTTGCTAAAGTTCCGGTTGAGCGCGGTGGAACCACACGAATCTCCAGAGCCCGCGGTGCATTCCGCGACGCTGAACGGTTGCTCTTCTTCGACCTCATACGCAATCAAGTCGACCGTACCACCTCCACAATCGACAATCAGGATGGCGTCCCCAATCTTGAGGTTCAGCAGACCGGTCTTTGCACAGAAAAGTGCCGCTGCCTCGGGTTCGGATACCAAGGTCAGGCGGTTGTCATTCTCGTCTCTCAGGAAGCCGGCCTGGAGGGCGGCGGCTCGTGTTGCTGCTTTCCCAGCATCGTTCCAAATGGCCGGTACGGTGATGTAGTACCGAATGTTTCGCTCTTCACGGGTAAACACTTCACCCAAAGTCTTTTGGAGTTGGGCCCGCATGGCCTGTCGCAGCTTGAAGAGGTAGTCGGCGGCGACATCGATCTCCGACTTGCCCGGAGGCAAAGGCGGCAGGTTGATGGGGTCAATGTACGTGTTTCCGGAGAGCATCAGCTGAAGCTTGAACCACTCGACTTTCTGTACCCCTTGCTTCGGGTATCCGGTGGGGGCCAAAGCATCAGCGATATCCGGGCCCCAACCCACCACCTTTTGGTACTGATCGTAGTACAGAACGGTCGGGATCTAGACGAGCCAAGCAAATAATCTGGTCAGTAAGCTGGTCATGTGCGGAAGTGAGGGGAGGGGCGCTTCTCGGCACCTTTTGTTTGGTGTGAGTGCCTGCGCCAGGCCACTCTGTGATAATGTCCTCTCTCGCCTCGTTGTTGGTCGCGAATGCAAAAGCCACACCGGAGAATGTCGTGCCAAAATCGATTCCCACAATCAACTGTGCCTTACTCCGGCCGGCGCCTTCTACTTCGACGGCGGGGTTCCGCACGCCGTACTGGGGTTGGTGAAGGCCGGGAGCCATGCCAGGACCGAGCTGCTGTTGTAACCCGTAGCCGGGGGGAGCACCCATGGGGGCCATGGAGGACTGAGGATACGGTAGGTTGGTGTTTAACGGCGGAGGGTGGTGAGGCATAGGCTGGCCTGGCGGCAGAGGGCTGGTGGGCCGGCCGGCGGTGTTGTAGGTGTAGCTCGGGGGGCGCCCCAAAGTATTCTGGTTATTCATGGGGAGGCTGGTGGTCGAGGAACTGGTACCGGAGGGAGGAGAGCTGGGCGAAGTGGCCGAGGAGGGAGCGGCGACGAGGGTGTTGGTAGAAGGAGCGTTCACAGGTTGACTGTGCTGCACAGGCGAGTGGTTCTTGTTGCGCTTCGTCCCGAAGGTGAACGATTTGAAGTTCAACCGTGAGCTCATCAGGTCGATGTGGAAGACCGGATGATGGCACGGAGGGAGGATGCAGATTGGGGGGGGGGGAAATAAGGGAAGGAGGGGAGGGAATGAGAGGAGAGGAGAGGAAAGGGAAGGAAGGAAGGAAGAGGGGGGAGGGAAAGAATGGAGGGAGAGAGTAAGCGGGTCAGATGGGTTAAGGCAGCAGAGCAAAGCAGGTAAGAACGAAGGACAAGAGAAGGGAGTGAGTGAGTGACTCTCTCCTCCCCCAAAAGGATTGGAATGGGAATGGCAGGAAAAAGTGGGCGTGGAATCGATTGAGGCGGAGTCGGAGGAAGAGGAGGAGGAGGAGCAACAACAACAACAGTTTAAACTAAACACAAACAGACGGGAAAGTTAACTGAACTTTGTCACCAAATTGATTGCGGGGGAGATGCGATGCGATGAGAATGTCAAGGATCGGGTAGATTCAGCCTCGAAAGGGGGGATGGAAAGGGTAAAGGTAAGAAAAAGAGAAAGCGAAAAAGAACCAACTAACTACTAAACGCCCAGCTAATTAACTAGTTAAATCATTGCTTATGAAGAGTGAGATTTGGGATTGATTTGATGGCAGGGAATCCGTGCTCTGGAATGATTAAATTGAGAGGGTCGCGATAACGCCCGACTGGATCATGTCTGTTCTGTCAACCCTGGATTCCCCTTCCCCAAATTCTCCGACTACTCCTAATGACGGTAACTAACTCTCAGGGTTCTGTCTTGACGGGTCTGGATGCCATCAAGAAGAAAAAGAAAACAATCCAAGTAATATAGTTTTATCTCGACCAGACACAGTTGGTAAATTCATGGTTGAACATGATTCTTTCTCAACCTGATTCTATTATGGATGTATGATACCATACGGTACGGTATGGTCTGATACTGAAAGGAACCCCCAGTTTGGCCTCGGCGTAAGGATTCCCTTTCCGAGAGATTGAATTGATTTCATCCCGATTCTCATCTTCCCAGCCTCCTCGTCTATAACCCTAAGTACTTTTGTTTAACTCGAGATTGACACCCGATGATCCCTTAAAATCGAGTGTTGGCAGTTGAGCCGATCCGTCTTCTTGTTGTGGGTGGATCTGCATCTGCCCGGACTGTGTCCTGTCCTTTGTTTGGCCGTCCACTCCACTCATCCTCTGACTTACTAGTACATATTTACTTAGCCTCCCATGGACGGAGTGGACACACTCCAAGGAATGGCCCCAAGGAACCGGCGGGTTCAGCCACGCCCGCTAAGCCTTCGCCAGCCTTGTCTGTCTCTGTCTCTCTGTCTGTCAACTGTCTTATTCCCTCTTCTTTGTTTCGTTGTCTGCGGCTGAAAATCTGTGTCCCGTATCACCGATCTGGTTTTATTTCCGTATGGTATCTTTCATGACACAACACCAGACCAACATCCCACATCTTTTGTTCCCCTGTTGACTGGCTGCTTGCTGCTTGCTTACTCCCGACCGACACCCGGCCTGTTTTGATGGTCGCCATCATCGTCACCTGCCATCATCTACAAGACTTCAATAAAATCAGTCGTATATAACATCCTTTATACATTTTGTTTCCGTGCTACCCAATGCGACGGCCGATACAATGGCTGCAACATACTGTCCGGGTCCTGGATATATCCACACATGGGTCGCTCGTGCGGCGCCTCGCGCTTCTCGATCGCAAAGCCCATTCGCTCCACGAGGCAAAACACTTCTGCCTCCGTCAGCTCCACATTCCCGGGCTCCCCAATCCCCTGGTCACCCTGGCCCTCGTCACTGCCTCCGTGCTGACTGCGGTTGCTGCCGTCCTCGAAATGCCACAATAACGGTCCCACGTTGATCCAGAGGCCGTTGGGCTTGAGGCAGTGTCGGATCGCCTCGATATACCGGATGAGATTCGGCGCCGTGTCGATGAAGAACACTGTCGCCACGGCATCAAACACCTCTTTATTGCTGGGGTTGGTGTACAACACAGTAAAGTCGGCCGCCGACATGCTCATACGCCCAAAGGGCGCCGAATTCGCCTGGGCTTCCACCATAGCCGTACCCGGATGCTGATCCGGGATCTTGACCTCCTGCAGTTGCTGCTCCCGGGACAGAAGGTTCGAGAAATGCAGCGCAAATGGATGCAGTGCGTGTTTCTGAGGGCCGAGCGTGTGGTTCAGGATCCAGCTGCTTGCCAGCAACTGGTGATAGGAGATCTCGTTTCCTTCCGCAGCGAAGCCTTGCCGGCAGATCTCAAATACCAGTCTTCCCAGGCCGGCGCCAGGAACCAACACCCTGACTTCGTCCTCGTCTTCGGAGCCAATCCGTGCGCCGAACTCGTTCTGCAAGTCGGACAGCACAGGGCCGTAGCAAACGTCTCGCTCTGCCTGGCCTTCTTGACTCCAGTCCCGGTAGAACTGTCTCAGGGTGGAGTGCGCCTTGTTGACATCGGACTGGGTGGCCGTCCCGTGCCAATTCTGACGCGGGTCGTTGGGGTCAGGGTTCGCAGAGAGCCCGAACGACGAGAGACCGGTGGTCAGAATGGCATCTGCGATGTCGGCGTTCACGTCGATGGCGTCATCCACGCGGTTGAAGTTGTCGAGGATGGAGAATGGCGGCTCAGACAACATCTGCCAGTGGGCAGATGGTAGGGCATAAAAGGCCTGACGACGACGGTGAGTGGTATTCATGTGCGCCGTTCTCCGATATTGCCTGAGGGTGTTAGCAACGTAGACATGCCCGCGGGCTACCACCGATTATGTTTAACAACACAACCGGTCACATCGTAAATGACTCACCTAAAAGAATCAAAAGCAGCAAAGAGCACACGGCGCTCGGCATTATCAGCCAAGGGGTCGAAATCGCCCGACCAGCTGCGAATTTCATCTGGCTCGTGCTCGTCCATGGTGCAGTGACTAGCAATTGAATAATCAGCAATGCAATCCCAATACTAGACAATTCCGTAGCCAAGTAAGAATAGATCTACCTACCTACGTTCAAACCCCTACTGTAGCCAAAGAAAGAAACAACAGTGGTAACCCAAAAACCGTCGCAAAGAATGTAGCGGGGGACCCGCACAAGAAACTCACTGACTTTTGGCGGGGAAGATGCGGACCTCAAAGCGGTGATGCAAACTAAACCACCAAACTTCAACCAGCTGGGTAGCTAGCTAACTACCAAGCAAACGTCTATCTTGAACTACAAACACACAAAATAAGCCACACAACATACACCACAAAACAATACCATCTCATCTCAAGAAATCAATAAAGAAAGGAGGTTGAAAAAGAAGAAAGATGACAACAGAAATCAAAGAACTCTCCCTCCCCCTCCCTTACACCCCCCACACGACCGCCCACATCCACCTCACACGACACCAAACCTGCAGCACGGTATTCCTGACCTCGTCGACGCCGGGCGATGCAGCGGGGAGTATCAAGCCGATGGGGAGTTTTGTGTATGCGATGCCAGACGTGAGTATAAAATCCTTTTCCTCTCCCCCGCCTTACTACCAATTTGCTTCTCGCAATTATGAATATACAATACCTACAATATATGCCCATGAACATCATTATAGTATACTATAAATAATACTAGTATAGTATCAGTGATGGTATAAAACGATCTAACGACGACTGCAGAGAATGAATCCCAAAAACGTGCTATCAACAACCATCTACTCCTCCCCGGGAAGTGTAGAATACACAGCCCGGGTTGCAAAGATTCTCGCAAGGAGGATGAAAACGCCTGTTTATGTGGGCGGGAGTATTGAGCCTGCGACGATGGGGGTGATGGCTGAGGAGGAGATTGAGGGGGTGAAGAGGATTGTGGAGGTTGTTGTTAGGGGGTGGGAGGGGATGAAGATATGACTTTGTCATGTTTTGTGGTTATTTTGTTAGGCTGGAGTGTTCTTATGGTGGTGGTAACTGTAGGTAGTAGTATTGGAAGGAAATGGGGGGATGGATGGAGGATTGATGATGGATGGCATTGGGGGAGTTGGGTGTTTCTCTATTATTTCTGTCTGTCTGTCTGTTAGTTTCTTGTCCTAGTTCTAGTTCTGAGTGTTCATTTGATTATCAATCTATTCACAATACTATACTCATGTAAATAGCATAGAGTACTATAGTCCTCCTACTAATAAGTGAAGATAATACCTAATACTACTCATGTGATATTCCCATCGGACATTCCGACACACACCTCGGATATACCCAACTAACCACATAGCACTTCAAATTAATACGAAGAGAGAAGCAATTACCAACGTCCAGTCACTGCAGCGGACCTACCACCTCCGCCCCATCCACCCCCAATTCCAATTCCAATTCCAATTCCCTCAAGCCCGCCCAAATCATCTCCTCCGTACGAAGTACGTAGTCTACCGGCCCAACTATCGGAACCACCTCCGCTCATTTCGGGGCTACCTACCCGCTAACCACTACTTACCTAGTAGACTTACTCATCGTGGAGCTGTCCCGGTTGATTAGAGGCTTAGCTTGGGCGTTATTACTAGTAAAAATTGATCACTGAGCTAGATAGTAACTGACTAGATAACTAGTCAGCAGGTGAAAGGATCAGTCGAGTCAAATTTGTCCGTGTAGGTGTTGTCCTCGCTAAGTGACTGACTAGCTAGTTAGCTAGCTTGCTTACTTAGTTGACTGTTGAGAAGTATCGTCATAGCCGAGGCGAAGCACGACACTACTTATCTACTATCCACTATACTATACTATAGAATAGGTAAGTAGTAAGGAGGAGGAGGGAATATGTAGACAGGTTGGATGCTAGCATGATCATGCGTTGCTTGATTTATTTCATTGTACGGAGTAGACTAGTATAGATCAAGGAGTGGGCTGGGTGCATAGTGATACTTCTTTCATATTCATTATATCTTTGCTAAGTAGTAATACCCTAGCGACTAAGTAAGCAACCTGCATTAACAAAATGCCGCACATCCGACGGACAACTGGATATCACTGCATCAATTAGTCCAATTCAACATACATACAAATCAATTATCATCATCCTAGTGTAATATAATGGAAGCACTGACCCCGGAGAAAGACTATCCCAGGAATACTACTAACTACAAAGCCCTCGCAGACTAGCCTAGCGCATGTCCGACATCGATAATACTAGCAGGTAGTAGGGCACGAGCATCGCTTAGATAGTATTACTACTTGCAATAGCCGACGACTACACAAGTATACTTAGTATAACTATCAATCAGTTGGTCTAGATAAGAACTATCTTCTCATCGAACCAATACTGCATGACTACATCAATGTTAAGTGATTTCGTGTCCTTCCCTTGGAGTACTACGTAGGCAGAGTAGTAGGTAATCATCGCTCAATCCCTCGTAAGCATTGACCCGCGCGCGATCTCGGAATCTTTGATCCTCGATGGATTGAGCACTACTCACTACTAGTATCTACTTCCAGTGTGTTAATGTTCATCTCGCGAGATCTTTACAATCTGCACCAGAACATCGCATTCGCATCTTGCTATTGTTCGTAGTAGATACTATATCACATATTAAATCATACACATACACATATTTACAATCACAGTACTGCCTAACCAGCATCGCCTACCTAAGTAGTACTAGTAGTACTCATCGACAGATCGATCGATCCCAAAAGGATATGACCTCACTCATCCATCCCAAGTGGAATCGAATTACGACGACAGGGAGAAAATAAATCAAATCAGCCAACATCACTGGCCCATGCAACAACAAACAACAAGAGGTCAATGCATCGCATCCCCCACGTGGACTGGTCGTGATGCCCCCCCCCCTTGCTCACGGGCAATTGTCAATCATTGGGCATTGAGCCGACCGAGGTGGTGCCGAGGGCCGGTGGACGAGCAGTATACAGAGATGGGTGCGGGAAGCAAAGAGGGGGGAGGGGGACGACGAAAAAGGATGAAACAGGAGGCAGTAAAGTGGCAAGAGGGTGTATGGGGGTGTGAGAGAGACCCTTGTTGCTGTTGCTGTTACTGTGGGTTAGAAGGTTAGTCCCGGTGACCGGAACTCACCGAATTTGGCGTTTGCGATGGGACGGACGGACGGGCTTGTATGGACGGATAGGTTTCCTGGGCTGACACCTCGGGAAGGTTACTTTCTTACTTTTCTTACTTGGGTAGCTAGATACTAGATAGTAGTAGTTGTTTATGTAGCCGAGAGAGGAAATGAGAATTAGGGAGATAGATAGAAAGGGAGGGGAGATTAGTATACCTGTGGTAGTAGTAGATACCTATCTATTCCCTCATGACACCGCCCCTTCAGCATTAGTAGCATTGAGAATACGAAATGATTATCTAGTAGAAGCGATGCAGGGTCGGTCTGGCCAGACAGCTAGCTAACTAATACTAAGCTAGCCAAGACTCTTGCCGTGGGATGTAACAGGGAAGGGAAACTGACTAGTAAATCAGCGCGTGCGCAAAAGAGGAATTGGCAAGAGATGATACCACCATCTATCCATCTAACTATCTAAGAAAGACGGTTACAGGATGGGGTGCAGCGGCAGACTGTCACGGGATGGACCGTCCACATGGGGATGGATAATGGAGGGAGGGGAGAGGGGGGCACCGGACCCTGGGAATTGATTGATTGTGCGCTGCTACTAGCAGAGCAAGAGAAATTACCATTCACCCAATAATCATCATCCGGTCAGTTACCCGGTGGTTGTCTCCAAACCGGACCACATTAGCATTAGTCTAGTGTACTGTACGTATCTAGCCATACTCCAAAGGGATCCTTTCCCGTCCGGCTGTCGGAATCTGCGTCCATTTCTATGCGTTTGACTGGCTGCTAACTTTAGCTCACCGGAAAGTGCGACTGGCTGACATGACAGCCCCCATCCCCCTCGGAGTCTCGGAGACGGATTGGGAAGAGAGATCACGACTATCGTAACCATCTCTCTCCACCTTGTTCTTAATCATCTTGTTATAGGTCATAGAGAATCCCTATTAATTCCTGCTGTATACTGTGTGATCGATCCCATTGGCGTTGGGTATCTACTTACCCCTCAGGTGGCTTGTCTTATCATGGGTGAATAATGGTGATGGTGGTGTTGATTTAATTTCCGGTCATCTCTAGGACCGTCAAGACGGGCTCTAAAGGTCTAACCGTATCGTCGCATCGTTAGAGATCTCGGTTAGAATATCCGGCCCGGCTACGTTACATGCCGCCACCACCACCACCTCTCCGGCCTTACCAGACTTGCAGTCGCTAGTCATCCTTAGTCACGACCTCTTAATCTCCTTTTCATTCCCCGTGCTTGATGGTCGAGATGATGATAATTTCGGTGGATATTGTTGAATTCCACTTCGTAAATATGGCATAATGACTGTGGTATTCAGCAATCGACATCGGAGCCTAGGCTCACCATCAGGCATCTGAGCACACCTGGCTGATACTGGTGCGGGGACCCAAGCCAGCATCATCTCGACACGAGCCTAGATGCCCAGCTAGAGCTGTCCAGGTTCCTGAGCCGAGCTTCCAGCCAACGGGCCGTCATGCAACCAACCCGCAGGCCTCAAAAACGAATCCTTCCGCGACAATAGACCTCGCGACGTCTTACTCCGTACTATGCTTTGCTAATCCCATTAGTATGACCGGGCTGTGCGCCTGGCCCTCCACAAAGGGATAGGCCTGAGCGATGAAATGTTCGAGTCGATAGGCCCAGAAGCAGATCGAAATATCAGAAACAATAATCAGAGTAATACTTTCTAACAAATCACGAAAATGAAGCATGAGGGGCTGAAAAAGAGAAGCAAGGCTTCTAGCCCACGGCACAAGACAGGGGGGAATGCGTAACCTGCACCGACGAGGAATGCGGATGTTGTCCGTCTGTGCGACCTCTCCCACTAGATTGGCTGGGGATATCATTTCCGCAGCAGACAGGGCAACATTTTGTGTGTGTGCGTGCGTGCGTGTGTGTCCAGTAGAAAGAAATAGCAGCCTGCAGCTGGATCCATGATGCGGCTAGAGCTCGTGCCCACCCCGCCCAACTTCTCTGGTCCTGCGCAGGCACACGACGGTCATAGTCGGCGCTCGGTCGACGGTCATCGCGACTCGGAGCTAGTCCTCGTGCTTCCTTGAAAATATGTAGGTACCAGGAAGATGCGTCAGTTACTGGGCTCTCCGGAATCCGCGAGCCGAAAGGGAAAAGTAGTAGAATGGTGCCTAACCAAATATCATCCTCGTCAGCTAGCCACTCGGAACAGGATGCCTACAGTACGATCGATGGCTGGATTCAGACATCTCCGAGGGAGCGTCTGCCTGATTATCAGTGCGACAAGCAATGGACCCTGTTTCCACTATTTTCCCTTCCGTTTAATTGTTGGATCGACATGACCGTCAGGAGCCCGAGCCTTGATGGATGCCGCGCACACAGACACAGACACACCACTAGATACTGGGATAGGGATGCCAAGTTCGACTACTTGATGATAGTCTCTCGCCCGAGTCGACGGTTGAATGGCAACTGCTGAGGAGAAGGAACATACGCCCCCTCATTGGCCCAGAGATCTGACGGCTAAAGCTAGTCCACGGGCCAGGCTGACGGCGGTGGATGGCAAGTGATACGGTGACCACACAAGCCTCAAAAAGCCTCTCGAAGACAAATGAATTGCGTAGGAGAAGGCGCCAAGCGAAAATTCTGAAGAGCTAAAGAGGATAAGATTAACCCGCCAACAGTGAGGAAAAGGGAAAGAGGGGAATTCGGAGAGAGAAAAAAAAGAAACGAAAAAATCTCCCATCAGATCCCGCATACTAAACTACATTCAGCAGGAGCAAGAATATGGCAAAGGCCGAGGAATGGCAATCATAACCAAATTCTAGGCGAACCGATCTCTCTCTCTCTCGCTCGCTCTCTTTATCCGTAGAGGAAAATAGATCAGAAATAGAAAAATAAAATATTAAATAAAAGTAAAAATAAAACACAAAAACGATGGGCCGGGGATTTTTCGCTCTGGCCACCGCCCGGGCGGTTTTTTCCGTGTTTCGTCCGAAGCTGGCGTCACTTGTAAGACTCCAACTCCGCCACGGTGATCCAAAGTCATCGTCAGCCAGCAGCAGCAAAAAGCAGCTCACCGGCTCAATTGACAGAGACAGAGAAGGATGCCCAGAGACAGAAAGAGGCATTAATATTATTATTCCCCATCGCGTAATATGCAGGATTTGCGGTGGAACTTGACCACGGTTGCTGCCTCGTGCGTCCATGTGGCTCGGCCAATAGGCTCTGTCCGGAGGCGGGATTCCGAGTCGATCGTCAGAACGATGCTGAACTGCTCGTCTGGTACGGATGGTTGAAGTAGACAGTAGACCAGTAACCAATAATATTAATGATGCTGCTGCTGATGAATGAATGAATGATGAATGAATGTCTTGTCTCCCCTTGCACATTCTTCTACTCTCGGAGACATGTACGTATGCTCTGTAGAGTTATGTAGCACCCTGTTCATCCGAGTCAATCCGCGGGAGTCACTGACTAGTACCCTGTAGTACTACTAAGTAGGGTCCGGCAATCGTGGCGCGCGCAGGTTACTGTCCGACAGCCAACCATTCTGCTGGAGACTATCGAACTGTACGGCCCGAGGGCAAATGCGCCTCCGACGACGTTTCAGGAAACACATCCCCAAATTCACGCACATCCCTCCCACGTACTCAGGGGGAGAAACCAGCAACACACGGACTCCATCAGCATCGGTGAGGAGAATTAAGAATAGTAAAAACGATCCGCTTCAACATCCAATCAAACCGTTGAGGAGCCCCATCGACCAGGTGGTAAAGGCGGCTTTGACTTTCCATGTCTCCGTCATCACTGTGTCCTCCTGGGACACGCCAACCAACCCAAAGTAGCAAGCTGATGGGTAGATGCGAAGAGGGGAGGGGGGAAGAAGGAAGTGGAAAGCCACTCGGCTTTGACGACTCCCAGGGCTCCATCCATGGATGGAGAATGGGGAGGGGGGAAGGAGAGGACAGGCTTACTGTAGACAGCCTAGCTAACAGTTGGACTGCCAGGAGTTGCCGTGATGATCATCAGCGAACCACGGCGGTTCCAGGCTGAACTGGAAGACGAGAGAGACGTACCAATCCAAGCCCGGCCAAGGCCAAATGCCAGTCCTGCCCAGAACAACCTGATCCATGTCAATTCCGCCTCATGGATTACAAACTAGAAAAAGACTAGTCAAGAGCCAAGGAACCTCCTCAGCTGCAGGTCAGAATTTAAGCACGGAGTTGCTCTCCGTACCGACGAATGTCAGAAGTCAGAACCATAGTTAAAATCCCCTTCCAACTACTCTCAACCGTTCTTCCGTCCCAGCCTCTGGGAAGCTCAGCCGTTCCGCCCTTTTCCTGAGTGGGACCTCGTGGCCCATGGATTCACCAAGAATTTTTTTTCATTAATTCCTGGGCAAACCGTAGATAAAGAAGAAATAAAGAAATAATAGAAATACAAAATGGTAGATTGAAACCAAATTAAGACGAGCAGACAGGTAAAAAAAAAACAATTGTGACGGACACGTTGTGGATAGCCGGTACCCAGGAAGACACTGCCACTGTCGATCTCGGGATACTCTCAACTAGCCAGAGGTCTGATCCTCTACTAAGAACAACCAGCTCAACAGTCAACAGCCTGTGGGCGGGTAAGCGCAACGAAAAAAACGAAAGAAAAAAAAAAGAGGCCCCCAAGCGATGGACAATGGGGGGAAGGGAAAGAAAACGGCGAGCCCAACACGGGAGCTTGTTACCGGAAGGCTGTGGTGCAGCAAAGAGACACACACGCGATGACGGGCCGTTGTAGCGCTGGTTGTTAGTACTAAGTAGTTAGTAGCTATCTAGTAGTAGGTGCTAACTCGGTAATCCATAATAATAGTAATTCCATGAGGCGCAGGAAGCAATTTAGAAGTCGCAACGATCAAACAAAGAACCCACACACCGGGCTATTCCGTAGGGCCAGTGGTTTTTAATATATGAGAAACATTCGCATCGAGAGACAATAATAATTTTAGCAGATGGACCGTCGGAACTGGTCCCAGCATCGTCATCGTCATCCCGCTCGTGTTGCCCCTCCGAATTGACCCAATGTGGGAATCAGGTTGAAATTCATCTGGCCATCAGGAAAAAGCAAATATTTCATCAATCAGCATTGAACAAGCAATGAGGGGTCGGAAGCAGACATAGAAAAGACCGTAGAAGTGCAAAGAATGACAAGAAGGACGACAAATAATATAGTATATTAATAAAATAGAAATAAACCCAGACAAAAAGAGTAGAAAGTAAAAAAGTAGAATAAAATAAAAATAATTAAAAATTAAAAAGCCCACGCAGGAAAACCAACCCGCCAGTCAATCAACGGGAACCGCGGCCAAGAAGGAGAAAAATAAAAAAATTAAAAAATAAAAATAAAAGAAGGCTGTCGGCAACAGATTCCTAAGGATAGACTTCTGCAGTAAGCTCATTTGCTAATCTCCGCACCCCCCTTCGATCCGATTTGCGTAGGCACCTGGTCTCGTTTCAGCCATGGCTTTTGGAATTATTGAATATTTTTGTCAACCGCCGAGCTGCTTAGCACTAAACTCTGTAACCGGGGTCAGCCGAGAGACTTTCGGAGCCGATTCCTGGGCATGGATAGGACCCTGGCGCAGGAGCTCTGGCACGCCATCCGAGGCCTGGTCGCATGCAAAAAGTGGGCAGCGGCGCTTGAGTCGAGCTTGTTCCCTTTTCCCCCCCTGGTATTGTAAGTAAGTAGTGTTTCCCCCCTCCCCTCTCTTCTGCTGGTTCTGCCACCAACGGAATGGACGGAAATTGTCTGGGATGGTGAGAATGTTTGTAGCAATCAGATACTCTTGAAGAAGTAAGGTTCATGAGAAGACAGCCAGTCTGCTCCAGTAGTGTTGTAGGGGTCTATGTTTCATAGACCAGATCTAAGTAGGTTACTAGTAGTTAGTCGTAGAAGAGGGCAAGTGTGATGATGCTCGGAAACGGGAAGCTGAACTAAACTGAAAACAATCGGATCGAATGAAATAAAACAGTAGTAATAATATTAAAAATTATTATCCCAATTTAAAAAATAATAAAATAAAATTTTAAGGAAAATCCCAGAGGCTCCGAGGCTGCGATGAAGAAGGATGAATGACTGACGACGTCTGCTCGTTCTTCTTTAGTAGTTCATCCAAAGTATGACCGAGACTGACTGACGACTGGCTTATCATCCCTTCCATGACTGTCGTTGGCCGTCATTCTCATTCTCATTCTCTTCCTCTGACACTATATTCAACCTTCGTGGTCCCCGGGCTGTCATTCCCTTCTCCCTCTTTCCTTACTACTACAACAATAACAACAACCACTACTACTACTACTACTACTACTACTACTACTACTACTACTACTACAACTACTACTTACTATTCCTCCTTGCTATCCCTCTTCTCTCCTTTGTCCCAAAGAAAACAACAACTTGCCCGCGTATTCATCGATTTTTGACTTTACCTTGTCTGCCAACTTCCCAACCCTCCAACTCAGCTTCCGCCTAAAGTACTATCATCTATCATCATACATTCGCCTAACGCTGTGCCCTGACCTCTCGTCTGGTGCTTGGCTTCGTGCCCACGTTCCTTGCAGCTCGTCTACCTCGGTGATTCTACTTCATCTCTATCTTTTCTATTTGGCTGTTGTATGGCTTCATCAGCGCCCACAGGACGACTCATCTCCATCTGTCCGCTCCAACGACAATAGAGCTACCGCTTCTAGATGACCCCACGGTAGCCCCATCGTCCCAACTTAACTTTCTGGTCTGGAGCATATTGAACCCTGTGGCTCTCTGGTTCGGGTGTGATTTTGGCGCGATCGAGACAGTTCATTGATTGATTGATTTCCATCCCCCCCATTTGCCATCTTTTGCCACTGCGGCCAGCTTCCCGATTCAATCCACACTTTCTCGGGCCTCTTTCTGGGTTGGCGCTCGGGATTTCTGCCGTCGATTCGGGGTCCAATAATTATTCCTCCCTCTTTTCCCCTCCCCATCGTTGTTTGCTGTTGCAGTTGCAGCTATCATCATTCTGCACTAGTGTCGCATTTTGAGTTGCACACTATAGGAAGGACGGTTTCCCCATCGGCTTGTGCTTCCTGCTTTTATTTTGCTCGCTTTGTATCATCCAGATTCTCCCCCCGCCTTCCGTGCTTCTTCCATCGGACGAGCGGGCAGCTTCGTCTGGTCCGCAATCGCTCCGGGCTTGCACACCCCCCCCTCCTCCTTCTCCTCCCCCTCAAGTGTCCCCCCTTATGAGGTTGCATTGCGGGTGTCGACATGCAGGCGCACTACTATCATTCCTCGAGTAGCCCGAACCAACCAGGAGGGTCATATGAACTTCCTCCGGTGCACGCGGTGACCTCGCCTCCAGGTCCATTTCAACCGCATGGTCCCGCACCTGCTCCTCTACTCTCCGCTCCGCCGAGTCGACCCGACAGCGGGTTGAGGATGGCCCATCTACTGCAACCGTTGGCACAACATATGCCCAATCCCCCGCCACCTCCCGTTACAAACGCTCCCACCTACGCTCGTTCATACGAGTCGAGTGGCTCTCCTGCTGAAGGCGCATCGATGCTCGCCGATGCGCCTCCCCTCAATGGTCCCGGATTGCTTCAGCCGATGGGCGGAGGTGCTGCGGCTGGACCGCACCCCCATCATCAGTCACAGCAGCCTTTGCAGCAAAAGAGGGCCTATCGACAGCGAAGAAAGGACCCCAGTTGCGATGCCTGTCGGGAACGCAAAGTCAAGGTACGTTACGCCGCAGTGACGGTGACCCTGGTGGTCACCCTCGTGAACCCAGCATGGCTCATTCCATTTAGTGTGACGCTTCCGAGTCGTCCAGTTGCACAGAATGCACCAACCGTAAGGTGCGCTGCCAGTTTACAAAGGAGACGAATCGACGCATGTCTTCAATCAAGTTCGTGCCGTGGCTGTTGTATTTGTGGGAATCTTGCCTTTCTAATCTGACTGCAGGCAAGTCCAAGACCTCGAAAAGCAGCTGCTGTCGACCAAGCAACAACTACAGCAACTTCGGTCGGGCATGTTACGATCGGACAACCTGATGGATCTGGATATTGATGGTGCGGGGCAGCCTCAGCTAAAGCTGCCGGACGCCGGGTATCGTCCCCCGCGCCGGCCACAAGCGCCTGTGATGCAGGATCTGGCCGAGGCTCGCGCAAATCTGCGAAAATACGGCAAAGGGATCCTGAGGGTGCCACCTCCATACCGTCAGCCGGGTCCCAAGTCCTTGATCACCGCTGATCCTCCACGCCTTCCCCCGAAGGAGCTGGCCAATCGCTTGCTGGGACAGTATTACGCTTGCATTCACTCCGTCCTGCCTGTAATCCATTGGCCGACTTTTGTCGCCCAATTTGAGGAGGTCTACCAAGCAGGAACCCTCCTCGGCGTGCCCCGTGAATGGGCCGCGGTTTTATTTGGAGTCTTTGCATGTGGGCGTTTGCACACCCTGGAAGCGAATCGGGAACAGGAAGGAAAAGAATTCGTGACCGTTAGTTGCGGGGTGATTGATGTATGGCAGGACAACTTCACCCTGGACCAGGCACGGGCGGCGCTGCTGGTCAGCATTTTCTTGTACGAGGTTAATTCTCAGTCGGCGAGTTGGGTCTGGATTGGGTCCGCAATCCGAGTCGCGCAGGAGATTGGCCTGCATTTGGAGTCGGGCCCTTGGCCCCCTCTGGAAGGCGAGATGCGGAAGCGGTTATGGTGGGGGATGTACACCTGGGATAGGTATGAGCTGCCAGCGATGGTTCACTCACTTGATATCCGGCTAACAGTAATTGCAGGCTTCTCGCTTTGGAGATGGGAAAACCAGTTCTCATCAACGATCAAGACTGCGACGTGGGCCTCCCGTGTCCCATCGACGAGCAATATCTTTCAGACGGCGGCGTGGTACCGGAAAGCCCCCAAACGTCCCCATTACTGGCCACCATTCATGTGGTTCGATCAATCGGCCAGCTGTCCCGAACGTTGAAAAGTCCGACAATGAGCCTCGGAACCCTTGAGACTTTCGAACGACACTTTAGCACCTGCCTCGCAACCTTCCCTCCTCAATATCACCCTACAGCCGACCAGTATCTCGACCCCCGCACCCTCGCCCCGATTCTCTACCTCCAAAATGCTCGTCTGATCCTCCACCGTCATAATATCTCTCCTTTCTGTCCTCCTGAAACTCGAACATCATCATTGGACTATTGTGTTTCCACCGCCCAAGATACCGCTCGCTTACTGTCCCGCTGTATGCGACCACCATCCAGTCCTGGAAGTGGGTTTACGGCCACGAACGGTGACGACTGGAGGCCCCTGCTGGCGTCCTCCGCAGGAACCATGCTGTGTGTGCACCTCTGGCGCTGTGCACTTCTACTCCTCTTTCGCCAGGATTTCGCTCCTGCTCTCGTCTGTGTCCAGGCGTGTACTGCTATTGGTGATTCGCGCGCTGTGAATATGGCCTGTGGACGCTATCTTGCGTTCTTCCTCAAAGTGGTTTCGGACCGGCTACGGCGCAACGAATTAGCAGTGCTCGAGCGTGACGAAGAGTTGATGGTTTATGTATCCGGCGACATGCAAGGAAGCGCCGAAGGTAACTGGGTCTGGCAGGGCAGTGAGACCGGCTCGCAGCTGGAAGTGATGTCGCCCAAAGTCAGCAGCCCGGTGGCATATTCCCATCCGGAGGCCAACGCAGGGCCAGAAGGGTGGGAGGGGTGGAAGTGGGTAGAGCAGACGGTGCAATACCTCCACGAGAGACAGCAACAGCAACAGCAACAAGATCTTCAGCATCGTACCAAGCCAGCGGAAACGGCATATCTTGGGCCGGAATCAGCCACCACGAGCTCTGATGCGACGACTCCGCAGTCGAGCTCGTCTCATTCGCGCATGACGATCGCGAGCATTATATGAGACCGCTCGCGATGATGCCACTTCACAATGTGGCAGATATGAACATCAAAAATATCAAGTCCTTCACATTTAATACGGCCGAAGCTTAACGTTCGGACTCGCTACGAAGGCAACTCACCGGCCGCGCCATGAGAGCGAGCACGCGAGGGGCCCGTTTCCCTCAGACCGGACAAGACCCTTGTCCTACTCAAAACTTGTATTACTGTTCCGGCAATTGTGGGAGAACCCCACAGGCATGTGAGATGAGATCATGGATTACGAATCAGCTGCGATGTTTTACCGACGTAGATATAATGTTGGACTTTTTGTATACAGTACACGCGTGTATAGCCGAACCTAGACTTACACCTCTCTCCTTGTCCTTTCAGCCATCACATTTGATTTTCAATAGCATAGTGCATATTGGACTAGCGTTTACAATTGGGGATGCTAATGCTAATGCTAATGCAATCATCATCACTCTGTCTCATTATTACACGAACAACAGTAGTAGATACTAAGCTAAGATCCTATATAATTAAGTCTCAAGGTTAATGCTCCGTCCAAACCGCGCATACAAAGCCACCTTCAGCTGCTGCAACTCTTCCCGCAGATCACTCAATCCCTCCTCGAGCTTGCTCACATCGGCATCGACCTGCTCTGTTGCTGTCGACAGCAGAGACTGGGCCTCTTCAAGGGGGAGCTGGAAGAACGCATCTCCAATTTTGTATCTGCATTGCAATTAGCACATCCCCTAACCCCTCCTTTTTCAAGCCCTGGCTCGCAGAGATAATGTGAAAAAGAAAGAAAAAGAAAAAGAAAAAGAAAAAGAAAAAGAAAAACTTACGGCACCAGCTCATCCTCATCCGCCAGCTCCAATTCCGTGGAGATTTCTTCTAAATCTTCTTTGTCTTTCTGGGGCATTGTTAGTCCGCTCGTTGATTTCATGCATAAGGGGGTTAGAATCATAATGCATATGCATATTCATATTCCCCTTTTATTATTTACTTGAGGAATGCAAGGCCATATAAAAATAAATAAATAAACAGGGGATGAACATACCATCTTCAACTTCAACTGCTCCTCCAGCAGAGTCTCGCGCTGGTGCAGCCGACTAAAGCGATTGATCTTTTCTTGGTCCTCGCGGCGGACTTCGTTGTCCTCGCTGCCCGTGAGGGCTTCGTCTTCTTTGGTGAGCTGGTAAAATTCTTAGTATTTCATAGGCAAATTGTGTATAGGGGGTGGAAGGGGTATACGTACCATGCGAGTTTGCATCATCTTGGCGGGAGTTGTGGTGGGATGTTGTTTGTTAGGATGAGGATGGAATGATATTTGATTAATTAATGTGATGATTGTGAGGGGAGCTGGCTTTGGGTGCCTGAGGTTTGTAAGGCTGCAAGGCATTAAAGCTTTGGTGGGCTTTTTGGGGGGTTGGTCTGTGCGGGTTCATTGTTGGTGCCTGAGGATAAGAAGGTGGTGGTGATGTGGTGGGTGGGTTTATGCATTGTACTATAATGGTTTAATAGGTGATGAGTGGAGGAGATTACTTGGGATGCATAATATGTGATATGTGTATTCTGCTATGGCCTTGATGTTCTTTGCGGTGATTCTACATTCGCTATAACTGTATGAGACTGGCAATGGAGTTCATTAGGATTGGTCTTATATTGTCACTTTATGATGGCTGGAATATTGATTTGAAATCACCCCCCGGATTCCATATCCGTACAACTAACAACTACACTTATGCTATGCATTCCCTTTGCAGCAAAAATCGAGATACTTCCATCCCCATCGATTCTATATCGCCAACACCATCTGGTCGTGTGACATCATCCCCGTCAGGTGCCCTCCGCATTGCCGATCACGTTCAGCCGCTGCCACGAGAGATGACCCCAATCGCCGAGCCATCTCGATTTGTTTGCCGTCATCTCCACGATCATCTTTGACGGTTCCAACTTTCCTGTGCCTTACTAGTCAGGTGCAGGCGTTGAATGTTCAACTGTTGTGGTTCAGCGGTGATTGATCCGCTTCGCCTCGGAGAAACCAAGACTCCCGGCCACCGCATCGCCGACCTCCGCGTCGGGAACAGCTCCATCCATACCGTTGCGTCTCCATCTCCATCTTCATCGTCATCTCCTTTGGGGCACCTAGCTCCTCTGCACACAACTATAGACCAGAACTGGAAACAAGGGGCTCCAGAATTAGCGATAACTTCCCCGTTCATTGTTCTCTTACCACTCATACCCCATCAACTGTCGAGCTGAGCTCCGGTCATCACCTATCTGTTTATCAGCTTCATCACCTCCCTCAACCAATCCAGTTCCTCCCCATCAGCAACACACAATCCAACCTTCACCATGCGAATACCAACCGGCCTCTCGACCCTCCTATTCTCCTCCGCCCTCCTTCCCGGCCTAGCCTCCGCGTCCGGCGGCTTCGACTGCCACAACATCATCGTCGACAGCTACAAATATGACCTCAGCACTCTCGGCGGCGTACACACGCTCTACCACGTTGACGAGACAGAAGACTACGTCGTCAACACAACCTACGTGCTCAACATCTGCAACATCCTCAAGGGCGCTGCCCACCGCGGCCACCTGAAATGCCCGACCTCCAAGAACAGTACGCTTACCCCGTCCACCACCATCCCCTGAAATCATTCCTAGCTCTTATGATTAACCGAACTCTTACCCCAACACAGTCTGCGGCTTCCAATACAAAACCGCTCTCGACAGCCACAAAGAAGAAAGCACCGTCTTCCCGATCGTCGGCCTCGACCACCTCGGCCACGGCACCAAAGACGCTGAAATCACGCGCCTGAAGAAGCTCGATTCCGAACAGGAAGGTCTCCTCGTCAAACTCGCCGGAGGCGAATACTTCGACGAAGACCAACAGAAGAAGAAGAACGCGGGCGCCGTGATCGAGTTCCAGTGCGATCCCGACCGGTCGGGATTAGAGGGACTACAGACGACCGAAGACACCGAGGAGGAGCGCCGTCGGCAGTGGCAGCTGAGTCAACGGGCGGACGAGACTAACGGCGACAACGAGAACAATGACAATGGCACAATCCCGGAAGGCGGACGCAGTTTGCAGTTCAAGAGCTTCGGGCCCGCAGATGATGATACCTACGTGCTGAAGCTGAACTGGAGGACGCGCTACGCGTGCGACAATTATAGGGATGAGCCGGGTGAGAAGAACCCCGATGGTGGTAATGGTGATGGGTCGAGTCATTGGGGGTTCTTTACTTGGTTGATTATTATGTATGAATTGCCCCCTCCCTCCCTCTTTCTTACAATTATCCCTGTGGAACCCTGGATCGAACTAACGAGATTCATCTGAACAGCCTCTTCCTCTGCATCGCAGCATACCTCATCTTCGGCTCCTGGCTCAACTACAACCGCTACGGCGCCCGCGGGTGGGATCTCCTCCCGCACGGCGACACGATCCGCGATATTCCCTACCTCTTCCAGGACTGGTTACGGCGGGTGGTCAATACGCTGCAAGGGACGGGATCTAGAGGGGGATATAGTGCTGTTTAGGGGGTTTTAGAGATTGATTGATTGATTGATTGATTGCCTATTTTTTTTCTTTGTGTGGTTTGTTATGTTGTTTGCTTGGGAATAGTTGGATGATGAGGTTGTTGCTAGTATCGAAGAAGAGGATGATGATGATCACGAGGATGATTCTATTATATGGTGGAATAAAGAATATGACACGATAAGATAGTATGTATAAGAAATATCGCTATCAGAGTGATGATCTGGGGGACATATATCACCTGTAGGAATACTAAGAATGTAGTGAGTGGATTACTACTAAAGGAAAGCAGGGGTGTAGTAAACCTGGCAGCCTAGCAAGTAGAAATCGGAAGAGTAAAGATACTACTAGAATAGCAAGTAAGATAATTAATACCAGTTGACTATAGGCGGCTGAAATCAGGTCAATATCTAATCTAAGTAGTAGCGTAGTAACTATCCTCAAATAATTCTCTGGATATTAGTTAGTAGTAGGTAGTATTGTAGTAATGGAACCTCATTGACCGGGCTGAGAAGTAACAGGCAAAAGTATGACCCTCGAGAGTGTCTATATCCAGTAGGTCTTAAAATGGATAGACAAATTATTACTTCGTTTCCATCAGGCATAATTTATAATGTCAAACAGCCACAATCCTTACTGTATGATCTGTCCTATTGCACACAGGAAGTAAAGGATTGGTGAAACCAACGAGTCAGACCGCTACTACTCTTCCACTATGTAACCGCAGCCCGGTATCACACCCAACACCAACACCATCTACATCTACACTCCAATAACAGCACACCAATATAGCGAATCAATCATATTCCACCAGAATTAATTCAATCTCCCACCCTTCCTTTCTTGACATACTTGCATGCATGCATCGCTCATGAAAATAAATCACAAACAAATCAGTCAAATAATAAATCAACATGCACAGATCATCATCACATCAAATGGCGTCATCAAAGCTAAGAATTCATCATGCCTGAGCATTCGTCACCCAGCATACCATTCCGAAGTTAAAAGAGTGGATTAACCCCTCTTTTCATATCATTCTTCCTCCTCTTCGTATTTAAATCCATCCGGTCCCCCGGTTCTTCGTCCGGTGGTCTCTCTTCTTCTTCTTCTTCTTCTTCTTTCCTCCCGATGGTGGCCCGTGAGGACAACATGTCCTATCCTGACCTGACTCGACCTACACGCGCATGGCAAATTGCTTCAGATACAAGTAATCGGCCATGTTGGCGTCGACGGTCTGTCGGATGAGATCTGCTGCCTCTGGACCGTATTTCTTGCGCCATTCGGCGTCCCATTCTTCTTCTGTCTTGACGGCATGGGGCTGTTGGGTGGTGTTAGTGACTAACTACTACTTGCATAACATGTAGACAGGGGGACACATAAAGCTGTGTGTAGGGTCTACTGATAACTTACATGCTTTCTAGCAACCAGGCCCTTCGACTCGATCGCATCGTTGTGAAAGCCGCGCCACTTCTCGAACTTATCCCGAGCGACCTGGTGGTCTTCCTCGGTGTCCCAGCACAGCATGTCGGGGGTATATTCGATGCCCACGCTACGACAGAACGCCTCGATCATAGCCGCCGGCTTCTGCAACATGTCGTCGGCATCGACAACACAGATCTCTGCTCCGGATTCGTACCCGTTGAGGCCGTTCGTCACCGGTCGGAGTTTGTTGTCGATGTCGTCGGCATCACGCTCCTGTGTGGCAATGTGAGGGCCTACCAGGCGCACGCTACGCAGGTAGTCGAAGGTGCGACGCAGCTCGTCGTACCCGGCCTCGGAGGGATCATAGTTGTGGAAGCCCGTCACCTGGTCGAGGGGCGGGATGGTGCAGCGGAAGTAGGAGGGGACACTGTGGTGGGGATCGCGGATGAGGAAGGCAAAATGGAACTGGGAGAGGATCTCCGTGGGCATCACGGTGGGATTGCCAGGCTCGGCTGCCGTGTTGTACGGGTACGGCTCCCGGGTGGTGGCCGGTTTCACCGGCGTGGAGTGGTCCAGTACAGCGTGGCCATTCAGCCCATTCTTGGTCCCGTTCTGGACTGGGCTTGTGCCATTCAGCTGCTGGGCGTGGTGGCCGTTGGTGCCGTTGGCGCCAACAGCCGAAAGGGGAGCAGTCTCTCCGTTAGACTCGGTGCCCACGCCACGCTTGATTCTGTTCAGAGATGGCGCGATACTGGCGGGTTTGCCGTATGGCGGGAGGAGGTAGTGCATGATGTCCTTCATGAAAATGCGCTTGCCCTGCTGGTGGTAAGTATCTCGTAGCGACCGAGTAGAGTAAGAATTATGTAGGGAAGTAGAGTGTGAAGGCTCGATTGGGGCTGGTGAGATCCGACGCCATCTTGACGATGACAGTGAGGTGACTACCTCGTGCGATCATGGGCTTGTAGGAGAGGCGCATCACTATAGAAGAGGGACCTGCGTAGGCATGCAGATGCCGCAGGTCCCAGGCCCATCAAGGGGGGAGGGGGAGGGAAAAGATTGGCAACTGGCCTCTACGATGCAGGGCAAGGACCATCCAGCCGGGATTTTCACCTCGGCCGGGCGCATAACGACAGACAAGGAGGGATGAAAGAGTGTAGAACGCAGAAAGAAAGAAACGCGACCAAGAAGAAGGGTCGGACCTCAGAAGCTTCGCGCTCGATTCTGGCCAGGACGGTCTGGAACGTCGACTGGCTGAAGCCGCTCTCCAGACGAGCCTGTTCGTCGTCGGCGAATCTGGCCGACAGACGTTCAGGCCCGTAGTAGAAGGCATCACCAAACGGCTCATGGATACATTGAATGGTATCCCGACGGGTCATGAAGACCTGTTGGAGGTGTCAGCAGGTTCTTATCTTCTTGTTTGGAGTGCTTCATTTTTTGAAATTTTTTATTTTTCGGCACTATGGAATGCGAGGATCACGCGTACTCGTTCAAAGGCCGTAGAGCAGGCGCGTGGATGGGTAGCCACGAAGATGGGTTTTTGAGACATCTTGATTCGATGTAATGATGAATGAGCAACCAGGGCTGGATAACTGGCTGGTTCACCAGAGGGAAAAGAGCAGAAATGAACCGTTTCCGATTCAGATCCGAGTCGATATTTTAAAAGATCAACAGTGCACACTACTTTCTACCAGGGAATTTCACCGCCGGTGTAGAGGACTGTTCTGGGAAACACTAAAGTCCCCGTCCAAAGAGAAGATGAAGCAGCTGTTGCTTTTTTGGTATTGTTGTTCCGATGCAATAATCTGCAAGAACAAATGCCCAGTCAGGCAGTCGTTGCAAATCCCCCGTAGATTTTGGGTAAGCAGAAGATACAAGCACAAGAAAACAAAAAACACCACGGCGAGTAGAAGAGCAGCCGGTGATGGAGGAGAGGGGCTTTTTATACTCTCAAGACGGAATAGGAATGTCGACCAGGCTGAAGGCAACGGAGGGGAATGAATGGAAATACGGGCTGCCCTCCTCCACGCGGGAAGGGGAAAAAAAAAAAGGCAGGTATCACGAATCAGAAGCGCAGCTCCAACAAGCAGACGGACGGTCGTTCGCTGCAAACTCCAGGACCAATGCAATGCCAGGCAAAACAAAACAGGGAAGGTTGACCCGTGGATGGACCGGATAAGCCAGTCAGTCAGTCCTACGAGCGTCGAGTCCCAAGTAGTACGAGTGCGATATCCACACCACTACTGTCTACCAGACAACGGTGCTGGGCTAGTCGAGGGGTTAAACGTAATGGGAGCCCCTCTTGCTATCCACTGTTGATGCCTGGACTCTTTGGAATTAATGCCGCATAAGGAATAGAAGTTGAACGGTGCCTGGTAGTCTGCAGATGGTGCAAGATAGTTCATGTGCCAGTGTTGCGATATCGCTGCTGAAAAGGGCATTGTTGGTGGCGGTGGATAAGACCTTTATCAAATCCTTCAAGTCATAGTCATGACGTTGGAAGGGAAGTAGAGTAGTTTTGGCGGCCGGCAGAAAGACTCCGGAAAGGGCGAATAGATCCCTGCAACCACTGCGAATTACGATCTACAGCTTATTCCCCTTGGACTCAGATCTCTCCTCAGCCTGCATTTCATGGTCGGAACTGGGTCCGTAGCCTTGAGGGTGTCTCACATTCACACGGAGGACGAGATCCCGGGCGATAGCAGAGGGGAAATAGTTTGGCTCATCCAAGCTTGAGCATCCAAGGGAGAGGATTAAGAGGGGGGTTCCCACTGCTTGACGTCACGCTCGGGCCTGGAATGACCTGATGAGGCCATATCGATGCGCTGATCGCGTGGAGGGGTTGTGAGGCGGGGGAATCATATTCACCACGGAAGAGAATTAATCGGGATAGATGTCTCCGAATCATCATCTATCAGGGGGAGAAATAGAATTTGTTGGTTGCAGGGCAGGGGGAGGAAATGTTCACGATCTCGTGTCAGGAGAACAAGGGCTGTTTAACTCCCCGCCCTTCCCGGGTCCTGAGAAAGTATCAGCAGAAAAGTCCTCAAGCATTGAAGTTGTCATGGACCACCACTACTTAGTACCACTACCACTACCACCACCAACAAGACCAGGAACTTTAATCCCGGCCAGACCAGAAGGATTGCATGCCAATCAAGCCCGGGCGACGCCAACGTGGGGGGTTCCTCTCTGTTGCTGGAGGCGATCCTAACACGCCAGGAGTGAATCTGGCGCCGTTAGCGCCGGACAGATTCCTGGAAATGTCAGGGCAAGACTCTAATGAGATGGCCCGGGACATAGTCATCGTAGAAAAAGAGGTGGCGATAGTGGATACGACAAGAAGTTGGCCGTTTCAAGTTGAGCGAGACCTTGATGAATGAGAGAGAGACACAATAATATCATTTGAATTTGAATGTGAATTTGACTTCAAGATTCTTTTCGAATCTGGGCGATCTCGGCTCCGAAAACGGCAACTGGCCAGTGTCAGGTCACATGACTGGGATATAATTCCCCCACTTGATGGCCTGATCTATCAGGCCAGAACAGGCCAGCAGGGTCAGGCCTCAACACGTGACTTCTGGCGGATTGGCGGTGCTTCTGGAAGGCGGTGGAAGCTGCCAGTGTCGTCATGAACCCAATCGGGCATCTGAAGTCACGCTCTATATTATGCAAGTCGGCATCATCTTCGTCTCGCCCTCTTTCTCTCTCACCAGACTCAATCAGCAGACTAATTTCTCTCGTTCACACGGAACTTCGCTTCCACATACTCTCTGAACATTTCCTTAATCTCCTCACTTTACATACATTCATCTCTCACCTTCCGTGTCATTGATTAGCTTGATTTCATCCCACATTCTTCCCTTACATTCCGCCCAATATGAACGGCGCCCAATTTACAGACAGAGCCAACAAGGCCTTGCTGGACTCCAGCAGCCTGGCTGAGCAATACTCTCACTCACAGATCCTCCCTGTTCATCTCGCCGTCTCTCTCCTCAACCCTTCTCCCGATGAATCCAAAGACCAGCAAGCCCCCGCTCATCCTTCCCACGAAACCTCCTCGGCCCCCCTCTTCCGCCAGGTCGTCGAACGCGCCCATGGCGATCCACAACTCCTGGAACGATCCCTCATGAAAATGCTGGTTCGTCTTCCTTCTCAAGATCCTCCACCAGAGACTGTCAGTGTCTCTCCCGCACTTGCCAAGGTCATCCGGTCGGCTTCCGAACTTTCCAAGACGCAAAAGGATAGCTATGTCGCCATCGACCACCTCATCCTCTCTGCCGCACAGGACTCACAGGTTCAGCGCGCCTTGGCCGATGCCAATATTCCCAACGTCAAGTTGATCGACAGTGCTGTCCAGCAGATCCGTGGTACAAAACGGGTCGACTCCAAGACTGCCGATGCCGAAAGCGAAAACGAGAACCTGAAGAAATTCACCATCGACATGACTGCTCTGGCCAGAGAGGGAAAGATTGACCCTGTCATTGGCCGTGAAGAGGAAATCCGGCGGGTGATTCGCATCCTGAGTCGACGAACCAAGAACAACCCAGTACTCATCGGTGAACCCGGTGTGGGAAAGACCACCATTGTCGAAGGCCTGGCTCGTCGTATCGTGAACGCAGATATTCCGGCCAACCTGGCTCAATGCCGGCTGCTGTCTCTCGATGTCGGCTCGCTTGTTGCAGGCAGCAAGTATCGCGGAGAATTCGAAGAGCGGATGAAGGGCGTTCTGAAGGAGATCGAAGAATCAAAAGACACCATTGTTCTCTTTGTCGATGAAATTCATTTGCTCATGGGCGCAGGCTCCAGCGGCGAAGGTGGCATGGATGCTGCCAACCTGCTGAAGCCCATGCTCGCTCGTGGTCAATTGCACTGCATCGGTGCGACCACGCTGGGCGAATACCGCAAATACATCGAAAAGGACCAGGCTTTCGAGCGTCGTTTCCAGCAGGTCCTGGTCAAGGAGCCTTCCGTTCCGGAGACCATCTCCATCCTGCGTGGTCTCAAGGAGAAGTATGAAGTGCATCACGGTGTTAACATCCTTGACGGTGCTATCGTGTCCGCTGCCACGCTGGCCGCGCGCTACCTGACCGCACGCCGACTTCCCGACTCGGCAGTTGACCTGATCGATGAAGCCGCCGCTGCCGTGCGGGTGACCCGCGAATCCGAACCCGAAGCGCTAGACAACCTGGAGAGAAAGCTCCGTCAGTTGCAGATCGAAATCCACGCTCTCGAGCGCGAGAAGGACGATGCTTCCAAAGCCCGTCTGGAGGCCGCCAAGCAAGAAGCAGCCAACGTTACCGAAGAGCTGCGGCCTATGCGCGAGAAGTACGAGAGCGAGAAGCAGCGCAGCAAGTCCATCCAGGATGCCAAGATCAAGCTCGACTCCCTCAAGGTCAAGCGTGATGAAGCAGAGCGCTCTGGTGACACCCAGACGGCCGCCGATCTCGAGTACTACGCCATCCCCGAAACCAAGGCTCTCATTGAGCGACTTGAGATCGACCGTGCTAAGGCTGATGAAGAGCGACGGGCACGCCAGGGCGATGCCGGCGAAGCTCTGCTCGCGGACGCAGTCGGTCCCGACCAAATCAACGAAATCGTCGCCCGTTGGACCGGTATCCCCGTGACCCGGCTCAAGACCACCGAAAAGGACAAGCTGCTGAACATGGAGAGATACCTGGGCAAGGTCGTCGTTGGTCAAAAGGAAGCGGTGACCTCAGTCTCCAACGCCATTCGACTCCAGCGGTCTGGTCTCAGCAACCCCAACTCACCCCCTAGCTTCCTGTTCTGCGGTCCCTCCGGAACCGGTAAGACCTTGCTGACCAAGGCCCTGGCCGAATTCCTCTTCGACGACCCCAAGGCCATGATCCGCTTCGACATGTCCGAATACCAAGAACGTCACTCCCTGAGCCGCATGATCGGCGCTCCCCCAGGCTACGTCGGCCACGATGCCGGCGGCCAACTAACCGAGAGCCTGCGCCGCCGACCCTTCTCGATCCTCCTCTTCGATGAAGTCGAAAAGGCCGCTAAGGAAGTCCTAACTGTCCTCCTTCAACTCATGGACGACGGCCGCATCACCGACGGCCAAGGCAGAATCGTCGACGCCAAGAACTGCATCGTAGTCATGACCTCCAACCTGGGTGCCGAATTCCTCTCCCGCCCAACCACCAAGGACGGCCGCATCGACCCTCAGACCCGCGAGCTGGTCATGGGCGCCCTCCGCGACTACTTCCTCCCTGAATTCCTCAACCGCATCTCCAGCACCGTCATTTTCAACCGTCTCACCAAGCGCGAGATCCGCAAGATCGTCGACCTCCGTCTGGACGAGGTGCAGCGCCGTCTGGAGAACAACGACCGCAACGTCATTATCCAATGCTCCGACGAAGTCAAGGATTACCTCGGCGAAGCAGGTTACTCCCCTGCTTATGGTGCTCGTCCGCTAGGACGCATCATCGAGCGCGAGGTGCTGAACCGTCTGGCGGTGCTGATTCTGCGCGGTAGCGTGCGTGATGGTGAAGTCGCGAGAGTGGTCATGCGTGAGGGCCGCATTGATGTCCTTCCTAATCATGAGATTCCGGTCGATGAGGATCAGGATATGATCGATGAGGAGGATGATGCGTTGGCGGAGATGGAGGATGGTAGTGGAGATATGGATTTGTATGATGAGTAGATGGAAAAGTGATTGATTGATCGATTGACTGAGCGATTGTTTCTTTTTACGATGAGATGATGAGATGATGAATTTGCTTGATTTCTTTCTTTCTTTGTGCTTAATTTTGTGTCATACTTGCGTTGCATATATGTTTGAGAAAATTGGGCTGGGTTGTACAGCTGATAGCATTTTCTATCGAGGTGATATGATATGATAATATGGGGATTGTTGCTATCAACTACTAGATGGCATACATGCACATTTTTCTTTGCACTTGTGTGTATAGTAATAATGATAAATTGGACTGGATGTCACTTTTTCATTGCTAAAATGACCTTTGCTTTTCAGTCAAAACCCTCTTCCATTTTCTACCTTTTAGTATATGGACGTAAGCGAATCACGGACCCCTTTTAATATCTGAGTAGAGTAGCAGCGCAACGCTACTACTTTCCCAGCATAAGTCAAAATGAGTCTCATCACTTATTACCTACGCAGATTTCCCCATCTCCTTCTCCCTAAACCACTTGGCCACCTCCACCGTTTGACAAAACTCCACCTCATCCCCCCAGCTCTTCAACCAATTCAAAAACCGTTCCTGCATCCCGATCACATGCACCATGCCACTTGTATCCGGATGCATAAGAATAGGGAACAGCGGCTCCTCCTCGTTCTCTCTAATCCACAGGAACCGATCTTTCCACATGTTCTCCATGACCCGCGCGTCCGTGTAGCCGTGTGAGTTCGGTGCATGAGGAAGAAACTGCATCGGCGTCATGTCTTCCATGTACCAGTTGCAAGGGACACAAACGAGAGGGCGCCGGTCTGAGGAAGCTGGGAGGGGTTTCATCCAGCTGGAGGCGGGCTTGGAAAAATCGATGGGTTCGATGGCTGGGCGGCGAGGGGCGAAGATGGGGTAGCTGTCGTGCTCGGTAATGGAGGAGTCTGGTTATTGGTATCGTTAGTTATGTAGGTCGTTGTGTGGTATATGGGCATGGAGTGGAAGGGAAGGTCAAGGAGAGTTGGGGAATATACCATATTCGAAGCCGAATTCTTCCAATAGATCTAGGGTTGATTCACGGAGCTGGTACAACGGAGCTCGATAGCCAACTGGTTCCTTTCCCGTGAGTTTCTTGGCAATGTCGATGCACTTGACTAGGACGTCGCGCTCTTGTTCCGGCGTCATTTGGTAGGCGCCTTCGTGGGCGTAGCCGTGCAGTGCTATCTCGCAGCCAGAGTCGACTACTTGTTGTACTTCGTCCGGGAAGCTTTCGGCAGAGTGGCCCGGGACAAACCACGTGCAGCGGTCTGCGAGATCGAGCTTCTTGAGCATGTTCAGGAGACGTGGAACGCCGACTCTCGCGCCGAAGAAGCCCGCTGAGTAGTCGGCTAGGATGTTGTCTGGGCTTTTGCCGGTGCCGAGCCAGCCGGAGACGGCGTCTAGGTCGATGCTTATGGCGACGCGGATTTTTTTGCTGACTCTGGTGAGGGATCTGGGGATGGACGGGGTAAGGCTGGTTGAGGTAGATTCGTTTTGCGTGTTGTTATTCAGGTTGAGGCATTGGCCTGTAAGGTGTCCGGCCGCGCGGTGGGAGGCTAGGAATGCTATAGTTCGGGGGATTGAGTCTGTTTGCTTCCCTGCTGCGGGTTCAACTGGGGTAATGATGTTGATCCTCGCCTGACTGTTGAGACGGACTATATCGTTCTTCACCCTCTGGGCCAACTCAGTGTACAACTTGGCCTGTCCAGGTGTCTCGCCTCCTGCCACAACAATAGCAAGATTTTCTAGCTGTTTGCCGGCAGACTGCTGGGCTGTTTGAGCAGCTCGCAAGAAGTGCTTGATCGTGAGGAAGGTTCCCCGTACATTGGCACGGGACGTTCTCTCCCAGTGGTCTAGTGGAAGATCCCATATGGGGAGGTCATTTCCTTGTCCAGTGGTTATGGAATTGACAACGAGGACATTGATGGGGCCAAGGCGTTGGCTGGCTTGGGAAATGCATGATTGAATGGAGCCTTCATTTGTATCATCGCCCTTGAGGACGTGAAGTCTAGGATGCACATCGTTTCTGTTTGTTTCGGGGATTTTCACATCATGCAGATCAAACGCCGTGACTTTGCATCCTTGGTCTGTGAATGTGGTTAGTATTGAGCTGTCTCATGCAGAACACAAGGCACATAAAGGCGGAATGTGACATATAGAATAGTTCAGCAACAGCTGGTGGCTGTCACTACGGTCATCAACTACAAAAAGATGGTAGGCTAAGACACGCTTGGGGCTTGCCTCCAGCTAGCGCAGACAGAGTATGTAAGCAACATACCTAGGAATTCCTGCACCGCTCGCCTACCGATATCTCCTGCGGCACCAGCGACGAAGACGTGAAGGCCCTCAAGGCCTAGAAATGATGGAGGCATGGTAAGCCTGATGGTCCTTGGAATTTATTCTGATAGAGTTTTCAGTGTATCTCTTTTAACTAGAGACTCAGTCCGCCTTCAGTAGCTCGTAAGCTATACCACCCGGTTAGTCTACAGATCCGGGCATACTGTTTGCAGGGATAAGGTAGTAGCGACTAAGAGTACAAGTGCTTACAAGGGAGAAGTTATGCCGCATGCAGAATGTCGAACGGTCCGCTTCCTTCAATGCAACCAGAATCGATCCTTCTTGATTCTGGATGAGGTCAACTCAACGCTAAGCTGTAAAGGAATTGTCAATCGGCATGCAAAGGAAGCGTATAGATGAAGCCGGAGGGGAAGAGGCAGCCCCACATCACGTGCCAGTCATGCCGAATCGGGACAAGGTAAGTACATGACAACACAGCATCACTAATAGGAATGCTGCCAATGCTGATAACATGCGTCTCCTTGGTATCGGCGCCCAACACATGATTCCTTCTAGACCCCAATCCAGTGGCGCTGGTACTGTGCAATATATTGTGCTTGATTAGTGGTTGGGCCTCGAAAGTCGACGGATGGCAGAATTTTGCACAGCACGCTGGTTAGTGCACACTGCTATCACGACAGTAGATTAGACCAATCCACACCAAGAAAACGGCGTCTGCTCCTGAAAAGCGCTCTAGGCTTCATTCGCTTTAGGATAAGGAGTTGGTACCAGTTAGAGTAATCAAGTCCACTTTCAGCACGGTTGCTCTCCGCCATGTTGTCCACGGGAGAAATTCGGGGTGCAGTGGTCGGAATTGTTCAAATCCGTGAACAAAGTTCAGCGGCGTCTCCCATGTCTCGGACGAAGCATCCTCTAACACAGAATGATTCTGAAGGAACGCTAATCGACTGACTCAAATCACTGAGATCATGAAGCTAACAAGAGGACTCGTCATCTTTCCCTTCAACATACGCTAAATCAGTCAGTGAGGGATTCAGCAGTTCGCACCGAGGTGATCAGCATGCGTTGAACTAAAGCCACGTGGATCTGCAGTCCCCGTACAAAGACGAACTGCAGAGGTTGTACCGCGAATCTGCGGTCTCGCGTGGTGTAATATTTCAATTAAGATTTACCACACAGACTCAAATGCTATATGAGTAGGTGTGGGCTTGTGCGACCAGACGCTGAAACCCCATGTGTTATGAAAGATAGTGTGTATATTGAATGTCCCAGGCACAGCTGTATTATTGGGACCGTAGCATCACCCATAATGCAGGGTGCTCAGTAATTTGCAAAGGCAGCAGAACATTAAAGACCGTGCTGGCATGTTGCATGAACTGTCGCAAGATGCTGAGAATCTATAAGCTTTCGGATAAGAAACTATCTTAGGACCGAACGCTTAGCGGGACAAGACTGCTCATTCTAGTGCGTAATTTTCTCCTTTAGCGGTGGCCCCTCTTTCCCAAGTGAAAGTCTGGTACTCCGAAAGTCTATGAGACAAATGGGCGAAAGTGACATTTGATCAACTATAGTCAAGCCCGGGAGACATTTCAATAGTGCGAACGGCAGACTTTGAGAGGTAAGGCACGGGCGTAAGCGGTCCACACCAATCTGCTATTCTGCTGTCACCGAAACTGAGACGAGATCTGGCACATCCTTGCCTAGTTGCTTCTGTATACCTAAAAAAGAGGAAAAGCGAGACAACGGTGTTGTTTTGAGGGACAATCTTAGTCTCACTTCGACCTGAAAAGACCGAGTGTGTAGTCTGTAGTATAGTGGCAAACCAGCGCCACACTGCAATTCTAACCCTGCGAATGACGGGATTTATTGTTCTCCAAATCCCGCTGCGCTCGCGATTTGTGCCACTGGGCTCAGGCTTGGAGATGCTGGCCAGTGGTGCGAATGTCGATCACTGGGGTAGTCGGCTGCGGCTACTGTCGCTGTACCTTACAGCGCAAAGCATGCCTTCCGTACGGCGTACGCACTTGAGCAAGTTATTTCCGTCCACGCTGAACGGACCCGTGGGCCGAATGATGAAGTTCGGCATCGGGGAATCTAAACTTAAGATCATTCCCTAAAATGGTTGCTGCTGGGTGGGGGATGGGGAGTGGTCCCATGGACCACATGCCAAATAGTCGCGCAGATAGGTGTTTGGGTACAGCCAATCTGAGCAAAGAATATACCTACCCGACCGAGACGCTCTTTGATGATTGTTGGTACATATTATGGTTGGATGACTGATGATTATGATGGCTGGTGAGTGTTGCGGAAGATAGTGGGTTCCGAGTCTTGCCAAAGCGGCCGCGGTAGAAGTTAAGGTTACTACCTAGTAGCAGACCAAGTCAGCACGAAGTTTATCAGGCCCCGGCTGCTTCGGACGGCACCTGCCCTTTGGCCGTAGGAGTTCTTTAACTTCAGAGCGTGAACTAAGTTCCTGTCAGCCAGCCTCTGTCTGCTCTTGGCACGGACACCAATGTTAAAGTTCACAGTTGTCAAAAAGAGAAGCGTAGACGAGTGATACCTGATCTTTTACTAGATGCAGTATCGCCTGATAACCAGTCTTAGTGAGACCATGGAATGGATGCGGTCAAACCAGCCCCCGTACCAGACGTCATAGTCTCAATGGAGAGCACCTTTGAAGTTTGGAGATGCAGAAGCCAGCATGATGATCGCCAGAGAGGAGAGAGAGAGAGAGAGAGAGGGACTGGAAACTGAAAGATAATCAGGCACATCATTGGGGAGGAGAGGAGACAGGTGATTTTTGTTATAGGATTTCCATTATTACATAGCAAGTCCGCCAAAGGAAGCATATATTACGGTAACTCGCACGTAAACCCCGAAGTGGCCTGTCACGGGACGATCAGGTCACGGGTCGGCAGGCTACGGATGAGTCCCAGGGAAGACGATGATCTTCTGGAAAACATTTGCCAAACGCGGCCTGAAATTGGAACCGGTTTACATGAACGTATAGTCCATTGTCTATCTATTACTATATCACAATAAGTTTTTGTCTATCCTCGTCGCTAAGCGCCAAACATCCCTCCCTCTATCTTCCGAACCATAGTCGTAGTGGATGCCTTCTCGGCATCTTGGTCCCCCACATGCCGATGATCAGTGGAAATATGGACGTTAAGCGATGGGGTGCCGAGCAAGTTATGTACAATAGTCAAGCGGACACCGTTATCAGATCAGTCCGCTAGCGGGACCTGAGGTGCCGTGAAAGGAAAGAAAGTTGATCAAGAGAGTGTTGTCCAAATAGAGAAAAAGGAAAAAAAAGGTTTCTATACAAGCGTTGAGAAAATGAATTCACGGAGAAAGGAAGTAAGTATCATGAAACAATCGTGTCCTTCATGGTTCTGGGAGTCGGCCTTCTGAAGTTTGGGCCTTCTTGGACTCCCAATACTCAGGTGGTCGTGTCTCACGCTCCACCGTCACCGTCACATCCTGTCGGATTCTGAGGGCCCGTTCGGAGCCGTCCTCGCTGGGCTCGCGATCTTCGCTCGGCTCCAGGCTGACTTCCGAAATAGTTTTCTGGGGCGCAACAACGGTGCTTTGGTTGTAGTTGTGCATGCTGTATTCGCCAGATTGCAATTGACTGTGGGGACCGTAGTGACGAAATGCAGATCCCTTACTTGTCCAGGGACCAGTCCGATACCGTTCGGTGGTTCCTCGTCGTGACCCTCCGGTCCAACTCTTGAGCGCGGGGAACACATCGCGAAGGAGAGACCAAACAAGGGGTAGGTTGGTGACCAGGATAGCTACTGTTGCTTCCCGGAAATACCAGTTCATGTAAACATAAGAGATGAGAGAAGGAACGAGACAATAGAGTTTGTTCAGGAGGGCTGCGACAATGACGAAGATTCCCATGCCGAATAGAATCAAGAGAATCAACTTCTGCTTAAGAGGCACTCGAACTTGAACCATAAGTGGGAGGCCAATGATAAGCATGAAGACGTCCGCAGATATTGATAGACATCCTTGAACAATTTCATAGTACTGATATGTCGAGCATTGGTCTTGTATGGCAATTAGTGACTTGGCAAATATATCTCGCGGGGTTTATCTCTTCGACTGACCGTAGGGTGTAGGCACGGCCCAGTAATTCGATAAAGGCCGGCAAATTAGGAACAAAGACAATTCATTGCCAACGAAGCCAATGGCGACATAGACAGCGAGATAAGTCACCCATTTTCGTTGGCGTAATCCTTCGCTGGTAAGAATAATGTTAGACTGGAAAGTAGTGCTTGCTAGGTAGAGAATCATACGTGATGCGGGCATATATAACCAACATGCATGCCTTCATGGCATAGATAGCAAGGAGGAAGGAATGCTCCGATACAAAGACCCATTTGCTTCCCCTGACACGATCCGCCTTGATGGCAGGCGTTAAGTGCTTTATATCATTCTCGTCCATCAGGTTTGATCCGCCTCCAGAGGCGACTTGATTGAGGGCGACACATAATAGGGTATACCAGACGACTGCGAATAGCATCAAGTAATCATCTGCTTGAAGGTTCTGGTAACCTAATCGACGTATTCGTGCTACGCTATACAAAGGGAGGCAGTCAGTAAGAAAGACTTAGATGCACGATCATCCGCAGAAGATCTCTCTGGGTCAAGGGAGCTCACAATCGTAGTATGGCCCCCAATACTCCCACGCTGTATAGGGCCCATGTCTCTTTTGCGAAGCTTGTCGCAAAGGCGGAGTCTAGGCTCGCCATCTCACTTGAGTGCAGCCTAGAGGAATGCGATAAGGCCGGTCAATTGAAATCACCTGAGGGAGGGGGTACATATGCAGGGGCCAAAAGGGACATGGGCCGATATAAAAGGATTCACGCACATATTGCAATAATAAGGTTCTAGGGCCGGCACATTGGCCGAGGGATGATGTGTCCGAGTCAATCAATCAGCGATCCAGATTTAGGTATAACCTGTCCACATAGTAGCGATAGGGGAGACAGGGTAGAGTAGATGAAAGAATCCAGGAACGATCCTTGACGATGCGTGTGCATCGGTGGATGGGCGAATAGTATGGACTCGAGCCGGGGCCGGGTTTATCAACCAGACTAGTACCAAAGAGTTAACACCCTCTGAGGACAGAAAGCAGCGCATGGGGCACAGCAGCAACACCTTCAGGGTTAGAACGGACAGTGCCCGAATGGAAGTAAAGTAAATCAGACAGGCGGATCCGTAGTGGCCCAAGTCGGCTGCGGGGCTTCTTCTAGCTAGACTCCCACTACTTCCACTACTACTGTGTACAGTAGTAGGCTACTACTAGTACTGCTTACTGCTTGCCTCTGGATGGGTTGTCTCCACGACGCCAAACTAGCAGGGATTAACGTGGGGATCCAAGGTTCCTTGCTAGGAAGTAGGAATATTGAATTCGAGCTGGCCAAAAGTATACCATGGACACTTGCCGACTTCCATCCATTCCCATTCGTCCGGTACCTGGGCCTTACCAAGCATTGTTGCTTCCTTTCGGGGGAGAGAAGGTATCATTGGAGTGACAGTACTAGTACTACTATTCTCACGAGGATGTAATTATTTTCTTTTTTTTTTTTCCCAACTCCTAGCCGACTGTTTAGTAGCCACAGCCGAAATAACTGCACAGACGGTGAGGAGTGGCCAATATGAGGGGCATCTTTTGCCGCCTGAATCATGGAGCAATTGTTCGCAGGTACGAAATGGAGCGATCGACCATCGAACCCCACTTCCACTGCTGCATACGTATACTGTGCGACTCCTTTGAACCTCTGTGTGTATGCTGATAGGTGTTTAGGTATTATGAAGTATGAATTTAGCACAATATACTCGCTCGTGGACATAACCCACCCGATATCAAGTGCGACAGGAAACGGGGGAAATTTGAGCGAAACTAATTATACCGTTGACCACGCCTAAAGTACTAGACTACCAAAGAACGTGCAATTTAATTCACAAAGACCAATACTCCACCAAACGGGCACAATACAGTTGTGTCACCCACCAGCCTGCGTGTATTTATTTGATTTTCTGCTGGTGGGCTCCCGCTAGTGGCAACTTAATTTGGATCAAGGGCCCACTTAGCCGTGAACTTAAATGTGCCCCCCTCACCCCCCTTCCTCCACAATTCAGCCAGTCAGCAAAGACAGCGAGCCTGTGCTTCGATATTGCCAGCCGGCCAGCTCTCTTGGCTCTTTGCACATACCAAGACGGAAGGGACGGTTCCATGCCGGGGAAAGAATTTAAGCATTCAGTTAGCTGAAGCCTATGAGGGAAAAGAGAAGGCTCGGCCCCTCCTACAGAGTACAACTATTTCAATTTGTGGTACTACAGTTCGTCATGTAGAAAAGTAGAAATTTTCATCCTGCTGCCTGGGTCGTGTGAGCCGATCTCGAGCAGATCCTCCTTTAACCCGCCAGGGTGTCATAGGGCCATGGGCCCATCCCATCTCCCCCGTGGAGTAGGCGATCGGTTATGCCCATTCATAAATCTCAAACCACTGGCTGGTGGGTTGAGCCGTATTTTCTTAATTAATTTTTCATTTAGCCACTCACGAATAATCTCTGCGGCGAATTATTTGTGTTTTCTACGTCAACATCTGCGGCTTTAGCTGCATCATGGACCCGGCAGGATCGGGCTAGCCTCGGGAAAACCAGGGCTATTAACGTTGGATGCAAGCGACACCATCTCGTGGTGGATTAACCGAGGAGTGGTACGCAATTAGGTGTTACACTGGGAGCTTGTCGTTTGAGTTGTTGCTGCTGCTGCTGCTGCTGCTGCTGCTGCCTCGAGCTAATCAATGCTACCTTAGTCAGGGGTCTGTTAGTACTTTCAGTAACCATCTGGACGATCCAAGCGTCCCTGAATCTTTTGAGTTCGCTCTATTGTATGGCATGATCCTACTACTTTGTTGGTGCACAATATATATGCGAAAATTTACACCGTGTATATCAAGAATATTATGCATTCGCAGGTCATCCCACCCTGCAAGGTACCCCGCGCTGCGTGCTGCAGGCTTACTTTCTATCTAGTCTACCCATCTAGATCCCTCTGAAACTCGGATAGTGACACCACAACCCAAGGAACCCCCTAAAGATTAAACTTCAGCTCAGTATAGTATGCAATATGGCTACTCCCAATTCATTCTATCAATACACCCCTCGTATCCGTTCAGAATTCCCCCTATACTTTCGGAACCTGCCCGTGAATGGCCTCAATATGCTCTAACAATAAATGTAGCAGCCCTCGGAAGCCCCGAAGGAAGGCAACCTAGTTTCAGACAAACCATGCCTATATGCGACATCACCACCGGCTTGGGCTGCAGGGTGGTGTTTAGACTGAATCCTTCGATCCAATCAAGGCGATGGACACGATCGATTACCAGATCGGTGAACCTAGACGATTCTTAACTAGCAGGGATGTGCTATATTAAACTTTGGGGGTGTTACGCCAGTCAGGGTGAAGGATCTCAACTAGGCTCAGTTTTAGTCGGAGGATTATTAACAAAACTTGATTGTATAGTGTGGTTTCATTAGACAAATCCACCGTCATCAAAGAGTATGGTCCGTGTTCTGGAACAGCGGGATTCTATCCCGCTGCAGCTACGCCATCACTACCATTGTTTTGGGTGAACTATTAACCCAAGAAAAGGGCCGTTTCGCATCATTTCTACGCTATTAATTAGGGGCCGTTGATGAAGGGCTAGGGATACTGCCGGTGTTTCTCCGAGTAGATGGTAGATGGGGTTTCGTTTTGCAAGAGATCCTTCAATCTATATTGAGTGAGAAGACTATCTGAACGCTAAGGTGCGAAGTGAGACAGCTTATTGTTTCTAGGAGAGATCAGCTTCGGTTCTGGAAGAAACGGGTTCTCATGATGTTTAATGCCCTTTTGATCGTTCTAGACAGTAATTGCGCTAATAAATTAAAAACGGGACGGAAGTATGTCGCTGTCCGTTCTTCCAAGCCATTGATTCATTCATGCTACGCTATGATACTGGATTTTAAATAAAGAGTTGGCCAGACCCTTCGGAAAATACAACCCAAGCTGAAGGCCTAGTTCTGTGGTAGCTGAATTCCCCCCTGTCCACTAAGCACCCACGTCCTACCTCCGGCCGAGCCGAACGAACATCCCCAGTGTAAGCGCTGCGCCAGGCTTACTAGTATAGCGTGGACTTCTTTCGGCACACTAGAACGTTCAAGGTCAAAACCCCGGCCCTATGGGAGTTTCAGCGTCATCAGCTAATATACTGAGAACTACTATCTCACGTTTGTAACCATATCATAACTTGTGAATAATCACCATGGATAATGGGAATGTAAAAGTCAGTGGCATTGTTTGGTTAGTCTAACAGAGAACAAAGAAAGTCAAGGCCACGGTCGGATGGATTCGTGGCGCGATTTCCACAATCGGAGGGTCTCCACTCTTCAGGGCTTGGCAACAGCAGGCTGTGGTTACATGGGGGTTTTCTCAGTGGCATTAAGCAGACGGGGCTATGAGTGAGTTACTTCCACATCGAGGAACCTTACAATGAAGAATACCCCCGAAGGTACCGCTGCAGAATTTTCCGACTATATTTGACCGTATATAGATAGATAAGAGATATCAATATGTCACAAGGAGCAGAAGCAGTCTGGAGGCGTTTATCAAGATCGAAATGTTCTAGTCGTTGTATCTTATCAGGGCTCCTTATTAGACTTAAGTGAACAACCATGAGTAGTAGATAAGGCATTCTGTTCCACCACCCAATATGCCTGAACTTCGCTGTGAAATCATCCACCTCTCTTAGTTACAATACACTCGACTGTCACTCAGATACACCCACCTGCTGTCTTCAGTACTATACATATATCAATGTACATGATCTCCAACTCCAAGACCTCTAAGAAGCACAGATGAAGTCGGATACCCCATTGTGGGGAAAAGACCTGTTCACCTGCCATCCGGACTCCATTCCATCCAAATTATGATCGCACACCTAAAATCAACCTCAACCACGAGGGGATCAGTGGATTGCAGATGAAGGTATATCTGCTACAGCTCCCCCTTTGGGAATGGTGTCTCTCCGCGTGCTGCTGCTCTTAGTGACCAGCGGGAGCCAGTCAGAAGCCCTTCCCGACCCGCTCCCGTCCAGATTGGCCACCACCAGCCAGTCTCTTCAGGCAATGATTGGACTGTTTCCCTCTGAGGGTTCCAAAAATGCTCCACCAGTTGGAGAACCACCGGGTCTTGAGGTCGGTCTCATACTGTCTACTCCCTGCTGTATAGTGAGAGAGAGGAGGGTGCCCTGCCTGGGTCCTGCCTGTCTTTCCCCAATCGACTATAAACTGGGACTCATCCCAGTGCTGCTCACTTCCCTGATCTTCATACTCACTTTTCTTCACGGTCATACGGTCATCGAAGGAGCAATGTCTGGGCCTACGTTCTCCTGAATTGATTATTCGAGGCTGCCATTTAATTCCATACCCGCAAACTTCAGTCATTCCTTCGTCGATCTCTATACACTATTGCTTCCGTCGCCTGGATTCGTTTACCTCAAGCACAAGAGCAGTCTTTCGCTGATTAATTCGGAAACAACCTCTCATTTGTACGCCTCTATCGACATATACGTCTTGCCGTCTCGTCTCTTCGTCTCCAGATCCAGTTACAATCTTCTGCGTATACGCCCCGTCCCTCGAGATGGCCGCCGAGAAGGAAGTAGAGAAAGTGGGAACAGCCGAGGCTGGGGATGATTCGACTTCGATTGAAGTGGTCAACGCCTCAGGTCATCGTCAGGAAGTCGAACGGAACTTCAGTCTACTGAGTATTTGCGCTGTCGCTGTTACGACTGGAAATACATGGATTGCTCAAGGTGGCAGTGTGGTATGCTAAGCTAGCCTCGTCGCTTTTCATACTTATGGTAGCGTAAATGAACTGACAGTATCTTCTTAGACAACTGCACTGAGCAATGGAGGACCATCAGGTGTGATTTACGAATTGTATGACGCCACTCAACCCTAGAAGAAGGCCCAAGCCGTCACTAATCGTGATTCTAGTATTGCTGTTTCAGTTTGCTACTGGCTTGTTGCAGCATCGATTGCTGAACTGGCATCTGGAATGCCTTCTGCTAGTGGAGGTATGCGCTTCTACAAACACTGATCATGACTTTGTTAGGTTGCTGACAGAACTACCAGTCTATCACTGGGCTTCAATCACAGCGGGAAGATACGGTCGTGTTTGCGGTTTCTTCGCTGGCTTTTGGAACTCCCTTGCCTGGATTCTCGGTGCTGCCTCCATGTCCGCTATCCTAGGGCAGCAAACTGTCTCTATGTATGCCCTCATGCATCCTGGCTTCGTCCCTCAGGCATGGCATATCTTTGTCAGCTTCATCATCTGCACGTGGCTTTGCTGCTGCATCGTCCTTTTCATGAACCGGTTCCTCCCGCATATTGGCAATCTTGGCATGTTCTTCATCTTGGCTGGTGTGTTAATCACCATCATCGTGTGTGCGGTCATGCCCCATGTTAAGGGCTCAGGCTATGCCACAAGCAAGGATGTCTGGAGTAGTTGGGAAAACGACACCGGTTATTCTAGCCAGGGCTTCGTTTTTGTTGCCGGTATGCTCAATGGTGCATACAGTGTGGGCACTCCTGATTGCTCGTCACACCTCGCGGAGGAAATTCCCAAGTAACTTTCCCATCATGACGATAATATCTTTGGTATACTAATGATGAACAGGCCAAGCCGTAACATTCCCAAAGCTGTTCTGGCTCAGATGGGCGTCGGCTTTATCACCGGTATCTTCTACATGATGGCCATTTTCTATTCAATCACCGATCTCGACGCAGTCATCAATAGCGTCTACGGATTCCCCCTTGCCGAGATTTACCGTCAAGCAACAGGATCCCGGGGCGGTGCAATCGGTCTGCTTATCGTGGCTTTCATACCCACAGTCATCACTTGCGCTGGTTGCTACATCACTGCTGGTCGCACCTTGTGGACTATCTCTCGTGACGGAGCAACTCCTTTCTCTCGCTGGCTCGGACATATCAACACGCGGATGCACAACCCCTTCAATGCCACCCTGGTATGCGGTGGCATTGTTACTATTCTTGCTTGCATCTACGTCGGATCCACCACTGCCTTTAACGCTTTCGTTGGCTGCTTCGTGCAGCTGTCCAGTCTCTCGTACTTCGCCGCCATCTTTCCGCATATGCTTACTCGCCGGTCCTCGTTCGCACCTGGTCATTTCTGGATGGGCCGTATTGGATATCTTGTCAACCTCTTGGCATGCATCTACATTCTCGCCTTCGTTGTAATTTTCTGTTTCCCTTACGCCCTGCCCACCGATGCCGCTTCGATGAACTACGCCAGTCTGATGACTGGAGGCTTGACGATCTTCGTGTCTATCTGGTGGCTTTTCCGCATGAACACCTATGAGGGGCCCAAGTCTATTCCTATGACCGACAAGGTGATTGTGGCTGACGCGGACTAAGCGTTATTAGATAGAATGTTTTGGCTTTTGAACATAAGGCGCATAAGTCCGAGCAATGTTGCTGGCTTATCACTAAGTGCTGTGCTCTATCTGACGCAAATATATCTAGAATAATATTTATGAGCTGTATATAATCTTGACACTGATTCGGTTCGAATGCAATGCGTTGACCTCCGTAGGAGGAAAATCATCGTGCTCAAAAACCAATGATTATGTGAGAAGCTTTCCAAAGCTTCCATAAAAGACTGAATCCAATGTAGACAGTGTAGATGCTATAACATATAGACTCCACAAGGCACCGCATGCCTTACTGCCGGAAAAGGCAATAAGCACTGTATCATCACGTGATGTCGCGACACCCGCGCGTCTCGAGGCTGTCGCGTGCAGCAGAAAAGACTCATCAACTCCACGGTGCAACTGTCCAGCAGAAAGCATCAGGAACCATCAATCGTGATGGTTTTTAAGCCATTTAAGCCTCCTTCGATGAGGAAGCCCCTTCAGCCTACTGTTTCGAGACCAGCTGTGCCAACTGAAACTTCCGAGGCTGACGGCCCTCCAGCTAAGAAGCCGCGTTTACAGCCAGAATATCCGGCAGATGTTGAGAACACCACTCCGGCCTCTGAACGACCGGTAAAGCCTGTAACTCAACCCAGGAAGGATGTGGAACCCTCAGCGGAATCAGGAAGCCCTGGTGATGTCTCTGGAAATAGGTATTTCAATGTCCTATGGTACGTGCAGTCTATCCTGTTATATTCGGTGATAAGATGATAGCTATCAAGGCTAACGAGCTGTGAAGGCGCAAAGTCACTACGAAGAAAAATAAGACGTGGGACGGCGACGGGGTCCTGACGATACGCGAAGGCTACGCCTACTTGCAGGATGTTTCCGGAAGAGACATGGGACGGGTGATGTATGGCTCCCGCCTCGAACCTGGTGTAATGCTATCGATCGGAGGCAAAGAAGTGGAGATAGATTCGGAAATGTCAAAGAAAGAGTACTTGTCTGGTCGTCAGTATCTGCAAACGAAGAAAGTTCCACCTCCGACAACACCACCTACCAAAGCGTTCGTTCCTGTTCGAAGCAGTACTGGTACTTCTGCTTTGACGACTGTTGCTAAGAGTCAACCTGCAAAGCCTAATGTACCAACGCTCGCCAACCCTGCTTCGAGGAAAGGAACAGTCACTGGCACGTACAAAAGGCCGTTGTTGGACAGCACTGTTTTGCCACCCACGCCGTTGGAGAAGCCCGTTCCACGCCATGATCCTAGTCAGCCTGGAGCGCTGGTCATGAAGCGACCGGATTCGGTGCCAAAGGGGAAACAGATTGTTGATGTTGTTGTTGATCCGTTTCTGGCTAAACATTTGCGACCTCATCAACGCGAGGGTGTTCAGTTCTTGTATGAATGTGTTATGGGAATGAGGTCCTTCAACGGTGAAGGGGCTATTCTAGCAGATGACATGGGATTGGGCAAGACCTTGCAAACCATAACCCTCTTGTGGACTCTTCTGAAACAGAACCCAGTATACGATAGTCCCCCGGTTGTTAAGAAAGCTCTTATTGTTTGTCCGGTCACTCTAATCAATAATTGGAGGAAGGAATTTCGCAAGTGGCTTGGAAATGAACGAATTGGAGTTTTTGTCTTCGATGATAAGAGGAAACGACTCACTGATTTTACGAGAGGAAGGGCTTACAGTGTGATGATTGTGGGATATGAGAAGCTTAGATCGGTGCAAGAAGGTATAGCCAACAGCAACGGGGTCGACATCATTGTTGCCGATGAAGGTCACAGACTGAAGACGCTTCAGAACAAGAGTGGCCAAGCTATCCAGTCCCTGAATGCGACAAAGCGGATCATTTTATCCGGTACACCCATTCAGAACGATTTGAAGGAGTTCTTTGCCGCGGTAGATCTTGTAAATCCCGGCGTCTTGGGAACTTTCAAGTCGTTTGTTAGGGAATTCGAGGGTCCGATCGTCAAGAGCCGGCAGCCCGAGGCGACTAGAAAGGACATAGAGAAGGGAGAGGCGAGGAATGAGGAGCTACGAGAGCTTACCTCCAAATTCATGCTGCGAAGAACAGCCGATATACTGGCTAAATATCTCCCTCCGAAGACAGAGTATGTGCTATTTTGCAAGGCGACGCGCACGCAAGCGACCATATACCAGAACGTCCTCGCCTCCCCAGTTTTTCAAAGCGCCCTCGGAAACTCGGAGAGTGCTCTCCAACTTATTACTATCCTCAAAAAGCTCTGCAATAGTCCATCTCTGCTTACGCCCAGAGACGTGAATGAGAAGCCCAGCGAGACCATCGCCGCTCTCTTATCTTCTTTACCACCGAACCTCCTGCGCCACTTCACCCCTTCATCAAGTGCCAAACTCCGTGTCCTGGATCAGCTACTCGATGGTCTACGCACAAAGACCTCGGAGAAAATAGTCCTTGTCTCCAACTACACTTCTACCTTGAACCTACTAGCAAACCTACTTACATCTCTCTCCCTCCCCTTTCTCCGCCTGGATGGCTCCACCCCCGCACAGAAACGACAATTACTAGTGGAGGACTTCAACCGCCTCCCACCGAATCTCTGCTTCGCCTTCCTCCTGTCCGCAAAAGCTGGAGGTACCGGGCTCAACCTCATAGGTGCCAGCCGACTCGTCTTGTTCGATGTGGACTGGAATCCCGCCACTGATATCCAAGCCATGGCACGTATTCATCGTGATGGCCAGAAGCGCCACTGCCGAATATACCGCATCCTCCTCAAGGGCAGCCTCGAAGAGAAGATCTGGCAGCGTCAAGTAACCAAAATTGGGCTCGCCGACAGCGTCATGGAGAAGAGGGACAGCGTGGCCCAGTTTTCGCGGGACGAGCTCAAAGACCTGTTCCGCCTGGACGAAGAAAGCAAGTGCCAAACACATGAACTATTAGGCTGTGACTGTGGCGGTAATGGGCAAATTGTCTCACCAACAACGACTGAGAACGAGGACGAGGAAGACGACAACTCATCCCCAAGCTCCCTCGAAGACTTTCCCGATCTACCTACCCTCATCAAAGCCTCTCAAGTAGACATGGAGAAGCAAGAGCGTCTAATCCGATCCAGATTCAGATCCCGACCCACAACTCGCAGGTCGAGGGCCGGGGGGACCAAAAATGAGGATGACGATGAAGACGAAGCTGAAGACGACAACAACATCGAACCCACGAACCAACAAAAGAACCGAATCCAGCAATCCCTATCACAATACTGTCACATCGACCCCGTCCATCTCACTGCCACGGTTACAGATACCGCCGAACAAGTCGAATCAACCATCGACGACGATGTGCTTCTTTCTTTGCTCAAAGACGAGGACAGTAATAGAATCGGATATGTCTTTAAAAAGGCGAGCATAGCAGCAGCAGAGCCTGAGCCTGAGCCTGAGCCTAAGACGAAAGAAGATGGCAAGGACGGGTCTTTGGCGTCTTCTTCGGTTGTGGTTATTCCGGATTCGGATTGAATCATATATCGACTTCCTACGTACACAGGCACGTATACACATAGAAGCGCATACATACCGACATACATATAGTATAGTTATACGAATAGATGCATGCATGGGTTAAGTGGATCTTAGTGTATTGTGTATATAGAAGCATGCAATTGGGACTTCTATTTGCACGGGTATACAGAGTCTAAGTGTAGTAATATAATAACGGGATTAAGAGATACTATGTTATTACAGTGCCGGCTTGAAGTTGAGCAGTGAGGAGGAATGAATCAGTGAGACTTGAAAAGGTATAGTAAGAGTAAGGAAACATTAATGTGACTTAAGTAATAGTTCAATGGATGTTAAGTTCGATGTAGTATTTCATCAGACTCTAAGATTTGCATCGCACATTCGCAGTTCGTCTTCCGGTTCATATACACGTGGGCATCTAAAAAATCGTGAAAGGGGGAAGGGCTTGCAAGAGGGCAAATAAGGGAAATGAAGGAAATATGGAAGATAAAAAGGAAAAGTAATGAAAGAAATAAACATCAGCAAGAGGGGGTATGAATATGCACATGAAACAATAAGAATAACACCTGCAGTAAGATATAGGAACATCGCTAAAAGTCAAATGCACGAACGAGGGGACATGTTCGAAAAGTTGAGAAAGAAGGTTAGAAAGAGTATCCAGGGTTAGATATCATGTCCTGACGAAGACATCAGTTTAGTATTTGGACTTTCCGACAAGTCCGAAGGTGTATGCTGCTTCAGCTTCACTCTTCATTTGGATCATATAGATCTTAGAGCTACCGACGGTAACACCGCCCTTCTTGGGCATGGTTCCGCCTTCGTTTTCTTCCCATACGGACACGGCGATACCGGTTCGAGCAACTCGCTCGAAAGAGCTTTCGCCTAGGCAGACGTCCAGGAGGACCTCGCCGCGAGTCTTGCCTCGGACGAGAATGCGTTTCTCGGGCTCCGCTCCGCGTCGGGGAGAAACGGATCCAGATGCTGGGGAAGTATCTTCGGCTCCTTCTGCAACGCTGCTGGCATCTCCGCGCCCGCTGGCCGTATCGGAAGCACGAGGTGCTGAGGGCGCAGGCATAATCGTTAGTCTTGCAGCACCCATATCGCGCCACTTGGATTGAGTTTCACGCAAGTAAAGTCGGATCTTAGCGTTAGACAGACCGATACCATCACTACCTTTGATGGCGGCTGCAATACGACCAATGCCGGATGAGGGAGAGGCATTCGATCCGGAACCAATGGAGCTTGAGTACAAGCTGTCTTCATTCTGCCCATCGCGAGAGGTGAGCGAGGAACGAGAGATGTTAAACATCTTGCTTCCCCCTCCGAACCGCTTCAGTGCTGAGAATGCACTGCTCATAGTTCCTACGCTACTCTCAGAGTTGTCGGCAACCGACCGTGGGGAAATAGATGCACGGTAGCTTCGCCTGCGTCGTGGCCAGCCGAACAACCCACCATTCTTCGTTGGCGATTCCACGGGCGCTGGCTGCTCTGCGTAAGGCCCTCGGGCATTCTGTAGGGCTATGTAGGTTGGGTTATTGATGCGCGCTTGGTTGATGAGGCCGTATAGGAATTCGCACTCGTCGGCGTTTCGAGATCGAAACATGATGTTGTTACTCCAGTTGATCTTGGAGCGTTTGGTCGGAGGGGAGCGAATACTTATGTCAATGGCTGTGCCGCGACGGATGGGCACAAGGGGTGTGAGCTCAAGGGCAATCAGTGGGCGTGCTTTCTTTGTGTCGCTGTCATCTTCCTCCATTCCGGCTGGTGCATTACCCACGTCATATGCTTCTATGAGCCCAGGACTGACTATGACCTTGCAATCATCGGGGAAGATGCTATCCCATGAGCCCTTCTCCGACCAGGCGAAGACCGATGCAACCACTGTAGACGACTTGCTTGGTTGCGAAGGCACGGATCTATATCCGCCCTGAGAGGCCGAGTTGGACAGTGACAGAGAGCTACTAGCAGACGTGGCTTCTGGAGCCTGGGCTTTTGGCTTGGTAGGAGCTTCAAACGGTGGCAGTGATGCGTGCTCATCCCCTGACTCATCTGAGCTGTCCGTGTCCGAATACTCGGAGCCCGAATGCACTTCATACCGACGCACAGTCGATGTATCAGAATCTGAGTACGAATCCGAAGCAGTAGACGGTTCATATTCATGCTTTAGAGGCGAGGAGCCACGGCGTCTAGTCCGCACACCACTAGGGCTAAGCACAGGGGTGTTTGGCAGGCTGGAGCCAATGGAACTCGGTGAGCGAGAATGAGTCGGCGGAGGTGGAGGGGACTCATCTTCGTCAACCTGGTCCGATTCCGAATGCTTGCGAGAATGAGTTTTGTCCTTGCTAGGAGTTTCGGGGATGTCATCATATTCCACAGGAGGGAAATCATCGTCCTCGGTGGACGCCAAAGAGTCCGAAATGTATGTCTGACTGCTGCCCTTTCTGAGTTTCGGAATCAGAGGAAGATCCATTGACGGCACGGAAGACACTCGGGGAGAACTCTTTTCAGGGGTACTCTTCGTTGGAGTTTTCGGGTTCTGCTGCTGCTGCTTGGGTTTCTTCTCTTCTGAACGTTTGGCTTCCTCGTGGACTGGATGGGCTCCCCGATCCAAGCTTGGGTCTGTTGGTGTGGTAGGGCTAGAAGGAATGATCTCTCCATTTCTGTTGACCCTCTTGGCCTTTGACCGTTTGAGGCCGGGGGAAGGTCTGTCATCGGCCGTGAAGCTTTTTCGGGGTTCCCTGGCATGCAAGATAGATTGCGGAGGCGGGGACTTGATCGAGAACTCGTCACCAATACCATAGTCCGATTCTGGAGTTACTGCACTTTGCAGTGAAGTACGGGCCTCACTGATCCAGGAGCTCACGGTACTTGGATCCGAAAGATGATCCTTAGGGGTCAAGGATCGACGCAAGGTACGAGAAGTAGGCTTCTCTCCGATAGGAACGTTGACATTTGAAGGACTTGGTGGGGCTTTTTGTGCCTGAGAGGCTTCGTTGGCTGAGGATATAGTTTTAGCTCGTTGGCGCTTGGTCCTGTCAATGAAGCTCTGGGTTCTACAGATAGCCGGTGGGAGAGGATTCGAGCCCAGCATCTGAACCCATTCAAATCCAATATCCTCTTCATCAATTTGAAGCACCAGCAGTTCTTGCCAGGATTTGGTATGGTTCGGGCCACTGCGTAGCATGACCACGATCTCGCCCTTCACGTCGCCGTTGCGAGCAGAGACACGGCCAACCTCGATAGGAGGGAATAGCAACCAACGATCTGTATGATCGATTTCGCAGATTAGTAGATCTCCGCCTGCCTTATTCCCAGCGGCCCCGTCTCTCAAGAGGAGCTCTGCGCGGCAGTCAATGATCTGGCCACTTGTGTGGTACAAGGAAAGATTGAAGAAATCGCGGGCCCGGACTCTTCGGCTTCTGTCAACAGTAACTCCAGGAAGTGCACCCAAGGTCGCAGGATCTCTGGCACGCGTAGCGTCAACATTGGCAGCAGATTCATCCTCAAGCCTTGCTCTCTCTTCGCGCGCCCGGCGGCGGGCGTCTGTCACAAGGCTCTGATACACCGCAGCAACATCCTCGGCCTTGTGAGATGGCTGAATGGTCTTGATTCCTTTGAAGGTCTTTGCGAGATACTTCAGGCGTACGAGAGGTCGCTTCAGAAGGTAAGCCACGTCAACCTTCTCACCATCACTATCCACCACATCGCCGTTCTCATCCCTTGCCATGCCCTCATCCAGACTCTTTGTGTCGGTATTGTCGCCTGCCTCACCTTCTTCAAGAGGCGCGAGGTTGACAATGACGTCTTTGAACCCCAGTCTCCAAGCCTTCAGGTATTCACGATACACTCTCTGTGCCCCGTTCGCCCAGGTAAGTAGAGCTTCCACATCATCCTGCGGAATGCGCTTGTGAAGCGTTTTCAGTCGCTCAATAGCAACTCCCATGTCCACTATGGGCTTGCTGAAATTCACCTCATCCTTCGGATCGGCAGAAGGTCGAAAGAGTCCAGCCGCAATAGCAGAATCAGATTTTGATAGCACACATGTCAAGAGGACTGGAATAACACCACCGACCAGGGTCTTAAGCTCACGCATGTATTTTACCTCGTCAGCAGCCAACTCCTTAAGAAGGTCAGGAATGTTTTCTGTAGTGATGCGACTCTTCGTTTTCAGACTCCTGGCAGATCGAAGGCTTCTACTCCGGCCACTTGGAGCAGAGAGGACTGATATCAAATCATCATGAGTAGTGAGGCGCCTCTTTAACTGGGAGGAGATTGCAGGAAGTGAGTTGGGGTCGAATTGGTCCCTTTTCTCCTCCTCGTCGAGCTTTGCCTGGGTGGACTCTGCCTCCCGTTTTTCCGATGCGGCATCTTGTCCTGATCCTGTAGCATTCTTCGTTGTGCTCATAGATTCAACAGATCCGATTGTTGAGAGGGGATGGGCCCCTGTCGTGGGAAATGGCTTTCGACGACCAAGGGGCACCGGTGCGTTATTCGCAGACACTTCGGAACCCTCTGACAACTGTTGGGACTCAGTCTCTGATGCATTATCGTTGTTGGCACGGGGTCGTTTGCCAACGGGTAGCTTATCGGCGCCTGATGACCGCGGTTTCTCCTCACGTTCTGTAGGTGCCTTGTGTTTGTCCGAAGTAGCGCTGTCCTTCTTGGGCTCTGCTTTCTGTTCTGCTGTCTTTGATTGTTCGCTTGTAGTCGGGCCATCTTTCCTCTGCGCTGGCGGAGCAGCCTTCTTCGATATGTCGCTCGCAAGGGGAGGCTCGGTATCGCTCTTGTCCTTCGGCACATCCTCTTGTTTCACGGGATCCTTCTTCTTGCCGGTTTTAGTGTTTAATGGCGCGGGTATCTCGACATCGGGCTCCATGTCCTCCACGAACGGGTCGGGCGTTTCAGAAAGCCATGCCTCTATTTTAGCGCCTCGGTTGGGTTTCGGAGGTTCTGGTTTAGCGAACATCCTCTTTGATTCATCGAGCATATGGGAGAATATGCCGGCTTTTGGGGGCTTCACCGTTCCCCGGCCTCTAGGTGCAGCACCCCGGGGTACTGCATTTGGACCTCGCGCACGTCGCCTGGAGAGTTCTGAGAAGTCGGCCTCGCTTGTCGCCCACTCGGAGTCCTCGTACAGTCCTCCGTCCCTTGTCTTTGCACTCTGCGACAGCTCCGACCGTGCACGTACATGGGTTTTGTCGGCGGTTGGAGGTCGCGAAAAGGACTTGGAAGAACCATTGTGAGACGCACTCTCCTCCTCGGCCTTGTCCTCGGGTATTATATCGACATCTCGAGATGCCCTCGATTTTCTCCGTTCTCTTGTCGCGAGGTCGGATGCTATAGCAGCCCTGCCCCTTTCCTTGTTGCGGGACGGAGAGGGCAATATTGTATCCTCCCGCGCACCTTCCGCCTCGTCACCCTGCGGAGAACGTAGACGGTCATTTGTGGTATACTCGGCAATGCGTTTTGGCGGAGGGAGCCTGGAAGAAGGCGTCTGGGTAGGGGTTCGGTTCAGCTTCCAATGCTCATCACTAATGACTCGTTTGCGAGGTGTGCTTTTGCTGCGTTTCCTCGTTCCAGAGCCATTGGAACTACCGGAACCCTTATCTTCGACAATTTTGGAGTTGGTATCGGCTGTTGAATTCTCCTCGTCGTCGTCGTAGCAAACCCCATCATTGGCAGTGATTACCCCGCCCCCCTGTTGCTGCCACTTGCGAACCTTTGCTCGCACTGAATTCGTATCGTAAATGCCTAGGGGTACTCCAATGTCGAGCGGTTTCTTGGTCGGGGATGTTCTGGTGCCTCCCCCACGGTTGGAGGGGCGCTGCGGGTTGGCAGGAGTCGGCATGGAAATCTGCGACCGGAACCAGGCATTAGCAGTGAAATTGAGGTCGCGGAGGTTGATCGAGATGTCAGACGGAATCAGCGGATAGATGCGATCGCAGAGCTGACATTTTTTTGTAGGGTAGTGTGAACAAAGAAAGATAGGAGAATCCACCCACCGACGTCACCAGTTGTTTGTTTATGGGAGGGGAAGCTCACTCGAGGTCGAGGCACCGACAGCACATACCCTGGTAACAACCACAAGGTAGCGGTTCTGCTGGGGAGAGAGCAATTAATTGGGACACCACAAAAGCAAAATACGAATTTCAAGACAGAATATGCAACGCGAAAGTCAAGAACAAGCAAGGAATTGAGCGAGAATAGGCGGTCAAGTGCAGAATGGAGACCGGACGTAGGCAGCGCAGCTTCACTAGTCTAGTACACACGGACGGCGCTGGTTTAGAGGGTCGAGTAGCTGGCGCGGGGGACATTCAGTTGCTAATTTGGATGTCTCCAGAGGCCCTCATTCATTTCCGAGAGTTTGAAGAGGCTCTTTCAAGAACAATAATCCACAAGGCCAGCCTGGATGCACAACAATAACAACACAACACACCAGTGTGTTGATCCAATTGTGTCTGGTTCTGGTGGTCCCTATACTTCGCTGGAACTGCGGGACGGACAACAGACGGACAAGGACACACTTTCGGCCCTCTTCTGGGTTTGGCAGAAAGGCTGCCCGGGAAACCAGCTTGAACTCTGCGCCACTCACTGGGCCCCAACCAATTCCATGGCCAGAATGCCCCGTTCGTCACAGATCTGGCGCCCAAGTTTAGTTTGCACCAGCCAACCGCATTCCGCCAGAAATGATGATTTGCTGCTGCTCTTGGGCTCGACCGTTCAGAGCTCAATTATTCATTCCGCGACCGGTGGTTCGACCCTCCCTTTCTCTCTCAAGTGGAATCGAATGGATCAGGTACATCCGTCCAAGATTCCAGACTTGTAGGGAAATGCCCCCCCCTATTTATCTATCCATCCCTTCCCTTCTTCTTCTTTTCTTTACTCCAGCTTACCCTGCACGGTCATGGTCATAGCTGCTGGCTGATGAGATGCACATGGGCCCTCAATCCCCACCTGACTTTGCGGCCTCTGCATCCCATGCCTCGCACCCTGTCACCACCCTGGCCGCCCAATGTCGTGGTCGTTTGAAAGTTTCTCATCTCTTTCCGTTTGAAATCCGATAAATAGAGCAGTCATATTGCACCGCGGAACAGTAGCCGTAAGACGATCATTCCGGTGTGATTAACGTGTTTTTCGGAGCTATACCTTCTGTTTGCCGGAAGAGCAGGAATGCCTAAACCGATCCACCGGGGGCTACGCGTCACAGAGTGGGCTAGAAAGGGAAAAGTATTCTACCTGGTTTATTGATAATTCGAGTGCGTTGTCATGCACTGGGCTATGCGGATTGCTTTTTCCCACTCGGGTGCTGTTGATTGGAGACTCGACAAGAGAGAGCTGTTCCGGCCGAAGCGAAGATCATCTCATGCGGGAATGCCCTCTGAGATTAAACGCATGCATGGTCAGGGAAAGGTCAAGGCCCTTGGTCTGCGTTAGCCAGCACTACCCCTCATCTAGATGCTGTTCCGTTTATAACACGGGTGACATCATCTCTCACTGTACGTCTCTCTATCGGTCCTTGCGCTGTTTGGAAGTATTTTCCACGGCTCTAAGAGCCTCTGTTATTGTCCGGATACTCTGGTAAAGATAGTCTAGGTCCATCGTCAGCTCTAAACGAGTGGTAAACAAGCAAGGGAGCCGTGAGACTGGAACGTACAGAATGGAACCACAATCCAGATGAAATTCATGAGGAAATAGTACACCCAAAAGTAGTAAGGCTCCGGGCGGCAGTACGGTCGGTCATGAACGTAGTGATCGAACAAGCTGGTCGCATAGTACAGAGCATCGCCATAGAGGTGGCTCATGCACACGATGATCTGCAATGGATGGCGCAGAGGATGCTGAGAAAGGGTCAAGTATGCGACCAAATAACAGAGCGGGCCCCAAAGAAGCTATTCCAGTATTTTAGCAACGGTGTCGCAGACGGAGCTAAGGAGGACAACGAGCAGGGGTCCCTGCAGCCACGGGTGCACCTACGACCGTGATAGTCTCCATACATAAGACAAGGGTATCTGAGGTCATGTATCGCGAATCCGACAGAGCATATTCCTTCCATAGCTGACCGAAAAAGTCCTGCGCGGATGCCATACGAGCATGGTTGATCATAAAATAACCCTCGAAGAAGCAGTGAATCGTACCCGCTGGGAGTTCACACTGCAATTAGCATCGAGAATTGTTGTCTCGCTGTTGGAGCAGTACGTAACTAAGGAGTTCGACTTACAGAGGGCAAACCACAGAACAGCAAGACGGTCGGCATTCTTTAGCGTTGGTCGGAGTCTACTGGTCAGGGTGAAAATGATTCCCAGTAAAGCTGCCGCGCCCACGCTAGCAGTACTGAGGATACTGAGTAAGGAAGCCTCGTTCGGAGCATAACCATGGATTTGAGCATTGAGGGGGTAGTAGGGATGGGGTAGAGCCTTGGAGTCCATGGTAGTCATTGTGTTGAGTCCTTGGATTGAGCGATCGATGGTTGGAATTGACAGAGGCTCGAACAGGAAGAGGTTTCTCTCACTTATGTATGGCTCCAGTAGTCGGTCGGAGTAAAGTATAGTGGGATGCTCAATTGGTTTTTCCCAATTCGGTAAAGAGAGTACAGTAAATAACCAGACCTACCCAAGTGACTGGACTGGGGAGCCAATGTTGTCAAGCGAGTACCCCTGGCTGAATTCCTTTTCAAATCGTCTCCTTTTGCTCTCTTTCTGTGAACAACTGGATATCATGATGGAGCAGCTGTTGAATAGCAATTGCAACTCATTCAGCTGATCCGCACGGGACTAACCTGATGGAGCTAGCGGGATTGACGTCCTCAGGCAACGACAGCTTCTCCGCAACTCTTGCCCCCCCAAAGGTCCGCTAACTGTTTGACCGACGCCAGCTTGTATCGTCCGATGTCGCCATCTCCGTGATTCTGCTCCTCTCACTCATTCCATGGGGTCGGTCACCTTCGCTGATTACGCGCTCTCCGGCAATGGCACCTGGTCCTTTTAGACGCAAGCCCCTGGGGCTTGACGTGCCCCGCCCCGCTACGGTCGTCGAGTCGCCGCCTGGCATTGCGGCCCTCTTCGTCATTCGTTTCGATATCAAGGCCGGGTGAGGGATTCCAAGTCTGTTTTAACAGCAACCCACGCAAACTATTCTGCTTACTGACGGCTCTTACGGAATATAGATACGTGATATCGTGGAAGCGTACTGTTCCCGGGGGTAAGTAGCACCCTGCTGCTTCAACGGTCCTCCCCGTGATAGCGTCGCCTAACCCAGCCGATCGTATAGTTGAAGTTGAAGGAGCTGTGGAGTACAAGTCGCTTCCATCTGGTCTGCACAATGTCTCAGAAGATCTGGTGTACGTATACTACGGCTTCGTCCGGTCATGAACGCTTGCTAATAGCTCGGTCTTGCCAGATACTTCGTCCACGAGCAATATGCTGGCATCAGCGCGTTTGTCAATTGGCCGGCTGAGGAAGCGGAGCGAAATGCAAAGATGTTTGCTATCGGGGTTCTCGTCCCATTAAGCTCCGGAAGATTGGGGAAAAGCTGGCGACATGCTCCCAAGCTCAAAGAACTGGCGGCGTAAGTTGAAATCCCATGCGCTGTCCTTTTGATCCGGCTGTTGACGCTTTCGTGATCGCTTCCAGAAACTATGCCGAGGATATGTCCAATACGCAACCTTTGACGGAGTACTGGGATAATTACGAGATTCGTGAAAGTGATTCTTCCGCTATGCCACCCGATTCCCCCATGGAGTCTCCTCTCAGTCTCCGGCTGCGGGCCCATGGTGATCTAAGAGATGCCGTCCATCGAACCCGCGCTTTCAGTGATGCAATCGTGTTGGAAACGCCCAGGCCGGCCCTGACGCCCTTCCACCCAGCTTCCTCGCTCCCTAATTTTCTAGATTCCTTCGGTCCTCTCCTATTTCCTCTGTACAGAGCAGCACTGCTGCGCAAAAGGATCCTTTTCATGGCTGAGGCGCCAGTTCAAGAGCCCTGTAGCTATGGTATGATTGCTATCCAATATCATTCCACCCATGCTTACAGTCAAATAGTGTACGATCTTTCTTTATTGGCCTCCTTACCTAATTCGCTCCTTCCTTTACTGCCGCAAAACGGTTTACCCTCTCCGCGACCTCGCCCATTGTTCAACGTCGGCATTCATGATATTCCTCACCTCTCGTCTTTTGTAGGCACTTCGGTCAATGCAGAACATGACGCAGCCTGGATTGCATGCAGCACAGACAGCGTTTTGACCATGAAGCCTGAGCTCTTCGATGTTCTTGTCACCTTACCTCCCGCTCACTCCAAGAGCGCCGCAGAGAAGGTATTTCCTACCATTTCTTTCTTTCATACGCAACCGCCAAAGGGCAAGACGCCCCAATCCATCGAAGTCAGAGCAACCCAGCGCGACGCACGACGTTACGCTACCCTTCGCAAGGGTCTTCGACACGTAACCCAAGAAGAAGAAGCAGCATCCACTGAAGCCGACGACGACTCGGACGCAGCCTCGACGTACTCTTCCAGTCCCATTGTCGAACCTCTCTCATGGACACGCTTGGCATACACCTCCTTCATATGGTGGGCATCAGCCGGCGAGAAGCGTGACGGTCTCTCCGAAGAAGAGGAAGAAGAGCACCAAATGGAACAGGACACGCGCCTGCTAGCCAGTGTAGAAACTCTTCCCAGCCCACCCTCTGGATCTCTCGGCCGTCGAAGCAATCAAGCGCAGGAGTCGACCCAGCCGCCTGAAATTGCCCTAGTCGCGTACTTCCGTCGCCTCACAGCCCAAATCTTCATCACTCTATCCGACGTACTTGCCCGGCACGATAGCCGCAATTCCCCCGATGACGATGAAGATGACGACGAAGAGATACCCGAAGAGGACACCATTCCTTACGAAGATGATCCAGAAGACGACGAAGGTCCCGGCCCCTCCCTTACCATTGGCCGACAATCCACCCAAGAAGATGATTCCAGATCTCCGTTGCTACAACAGCAGACAGGGACCGGGTCGCGCGACACCAGAGCCTCCTATGACGATAGCGATCCAGTAAAGATCACTTCTGAAGATCTGACCGAGATGGGCCTGGATATCTGGAGCACAGCTGACCGTCTGTTTGTCGAGGAACTGGTTCACCTGTGGTGGGGTCGGAAGGCACGTGTGGACAGTGCAAGGATCAGATGTTGCGGTATTTCCATCATATAAACGGTGTATGTGCTGGTTGGGCTGCAATAGTGAGATGCATCCTACTTCTTGTTCGTTTCTTCTTTCTATATTTCGATATCGTCTTGTCTGGCACTATGTGTACGCATGAAAGTATATACGGCCCGGTATTAGCATTTATAGACTGTCTAGTCCATCTCTAGGAATGCTCATGCTAGGCTAATAGTGCTACTACTACTCAAATGACTTTTGTAAAAAGAAGGCGAGTTCACATTGAAATTGTCATGTCAATATCATAAAGGTTCTAGTCTTCATCCAAACAGCATCGTAGAAATCAACCTATATACAAAAAAGGGTGGGTTCACCAAGCAAAGAGAATAAAAAAAATCACTAGACAAAGGAGAGTAGAGAATGATCTAAGAGAATGTCAAGGCTGATAAGCGATGCTCATTTGCCATGGGGTTGGGAAGATGATAGAATGGACCAAAATAACAAAGCACTCAAGTGGGACGAAATTAACCTCTTGATATATGCAAGAGGGAAATAAGTAATGGTCGTAGCTTTTCGCAACAGGCATAACAAAAATGAATACAAGAGAGCACCGTTTATGCCCAACAAAAATCAACATCCAAAAAGAGAAAAACGCCATTTCGCTCGGAGGACCAGGGTATCAAGAGAGAGTTGAGTCGTTAACCAAGAATATGAGGAATGAGAGATGATTTTGGATCGTTGAGTCAAGCGCACTGATCCTGGCTGTCATGTTCAGCCAGTGATGGGACGGCGGTTTCAGTAGTGGGACATTTGGATAGGAGCGCTCATATCCCTCCGACTTCTGATGGAACCGTCGCTTGCATCTGGATTCTGGACGCCAGGGTACCGTCGAGCGCTCCGGACAGGAGTAACTCCCATGCCTCCCGAGCGAAGCCCGCTTTCACTGGCACTGACAGACCTCTTCATGGTGTTTGCTCTCTCTCTCCGCGCTCTAATCTGAGCCAGTGCTTCTTCTCGGCTGATGGGGGTCCCAGGCACGTCGGAAAAGCGATTTGATCCCCCATCATCGCGCAGAGGAACCTTCGTGGGGTCATTGTGCCTCTCAGGGGTGCCGGCTTCATGTCCAATGGGCATCACAGGATCCCATGGCACATCAACAACCGCTGGCGAGGGGTGGCCTTTCGGGGTAGCTTCACGATCCGTTATAGAATCAAACGGAGCCTGGCGCTGAAGAGACCCATACTTCAGGGCAGGGCTACCAGACATCACACGGGCGTCTATTCCGTGTTCAGCGTAGGCTGCTGGTGACTGATGATCGTTTGCAATAGCCTCGTTGGCCTTTCGGGGAGATCCTCGTACGGGAGAAGGGAAGGTGTGGAAGGTTCCAGTGGCAGGTGAGAATGTTATCAAAGGTTCCTCCGGAGGCTCATCGTCATCGTCATCGTCAACATCCTGGATCTCCTCGACCTCTTCAACGATTTCATCCACATCTTCATCGACGTCATCCCCGGCCACCTCGCGCTCGGCTGCTTCTTCTCCGGCAGGATCCTCCATCAGTATTTGTTCCTTGACACTTGTCACATATCTAGGCTCGCCTTTAGGAGTATGAGACGGACTTGGCTCCTCTGGTGCAGCAAGTGCGTTCTGGTCATCTTTGTGATGTTTTGGGTGTTCCAGCTCATCCTTTTTCGTCGTATCCACGCTTTGCGGTTCATGGGTATGAGGAACGCTTTTCTGCTCTGCCAAGCGGCAAGTGCAACGTTTAAAATGGCACTCCAGGCGCAAGAATTCGAGCATTCCCTCGGCGTCGACTCTGAGTTGACGCTCGCGCCTGAGGGACTCCTCCAACTCAGCGATTTGTTCCTCATGTACATCGAGTGTCGTGATCTCCGCGGCCTCCTTTCTAGGAGTTACGTCTGACATCCTTTGCCTCTTGGGAGGTGTATCCTTGACCGGTGAAGATTCAGCGACATTGGCTTGAGGCGGGTTGGCTATTTCCTCAGCAGATCGTTTGGGTCTCCGAGGGGTAGGTGTCAACAAGAGATTGAGATCGCCTTCAGTCAGCGACATTCGTCCAATATCGTTCTTCTTCTGCTGCGCTTGCGCTTCGAGCTTCTGCGAGTGGTTGTTGGCCTCGGCGGCCCGTAGCTGTTCTTTAAGGACCTCCATCTCCTCCGTGAGGCCAGCAATAGCATAAGCACGTTCGAAAGCCTCCTGTTTCGCTTGTTCTTTGGCTGCTCGCTCTGCCTGGGCCTCGTCTTTGTATCCTTTTGCTTCGTTTCTTGCGTTTTTCAGCTCCTCCTGTGTTTTCACCAGAACGGAGCCAGCTCGAAAAGCTTCCTTCCTCGCCTTCCTAATTTCTTTTTCGAAAATTGATCGCTCGTGGGCCTGGCGTTCTTTTGTTGTTTGCAGTTCTTCCAGCAGGGACTCCAGTCTTTCACTTATCCGGCGCTCCCGCGACTGGGCTTCAGAAAGCTGAGCGGAAACATTGGCCAACGCCGACTCAGCCTCTTCGCGCCCAAGGATAGCCCGCTGGAGAGCTGCCGTAGATGCTGCTGAAGGCTGTGAACCCTGCGCGGGGCTGTTTCCTCGCGACAAGTTGTTCAGATACGCGACCTTGGCCTGTACATCGGTGAGTCCTCGGGGAGTCTTCCGCTGAATGTTGAAAATATCCGATGACATTGAGGGTGAGCCAAGTCCGATCTGCTGGTTCATCCGGTCTGGTGACAGGGGATTGAGGGCCTTTGTCGGGCTCGGCGTCGCGCTCGATGGAGAATCCATCGCGGCAGTATGTGCTGTTGCTGTGGGTGGTTAGTGTAATAAAATGATGCGTTCACTCAAGACTCAAACATGACAGTCGTGTCTCGAGGGATTGTGAAACTAGTAGGTGCCGAAGGAAGCCCCGTGGAAAATCCACCTGGAGTGGAGGTGAGAGGAGAGTAGTGCTCGGTTGATGATCCCCTAATCGGTGACGCACCCACAACAATCAAACCGATCCCGCCGATTCCACGCTTGTTTGTTGCTCGCGCCGCAGTCCCGTGACCGTTGCCCGGGACAACTATGATTAGCCGTATTGGGAAGGCGGGGTTCACGTGTCACAGAATCTTCCACTAGTCCCAGATAGGCAACCAGCGCACCCAGTGGTCTGTGCGTCCACTGCTTGTGATGCCATCAGTTGCCCACGATTATGAGATTGTGGGTGCTGTGTTCTAGACTCGCAGATAATTTGAAGGTCCTGGACTGCACTGAGATTGGCTTCTGTAAATTTCGGTACTTCTTCCAGGAGCCTTTGTGGAATTGAAATCCCCTGCATGTGCATCACCCTGTAGGATCAATCTGCGACAGCTGCATATATTTTCTGGGTGCAACGCCAATGTGGGACATAGTAATTGTCAACACCGACCATGCATGAAATCATCACCCTACAGCTCGGTCAGCGAGCTAATTACCTGGCCACACATTTTTGGAATCTCCAGGTTAGTGAGTCAATTATCATGCTGCGCTTCTCATCATATATGCATCTTATGGCTGACATTTCTGGCAGGAATCCTACTTCACTTACAACGAGGAAGAGGAATCTCCAGTAGACCATGATGTCCATTTTCGCCCAGGCGTCGGCGCCGATGGGTCGGAAACATACACCCCTAGGACTGTCATATATGATCTGAAAGGTGGCTTTGGCACGCTCCGCAAGTACAACGCTTTGTACGAGTTGACTGAAGATGCCACCCCGGGCCAGGGTCTATGGTGGGTTTTAACCTTCCTACGTACTCTCTTTTATCCGAGGCCGGTGCAATATTAACAATAGAATTGTAGGGACGGAAAGGAGATTTTACAACAGCAAGCGCCAATTCCCCAGAGTGACTACCAGAAGAGCCTTGACGCGGGGCTACCTGCTCCAACGCTCTCTGCAGAGACAGTAAGGTATTGGTCGGATTATAACCGACTGTTCTATCACCCCCGCTCCATTGTGCAGCTCAACGACTATGAGTTGAACTCCAAAATCATGCCTTTTGAGGATTGGACTATTGGCGAAGAACTGTTCAATGAGCTCGACAAGGAGCATGACTTGCTCGACCGAGATGTCAGACCTTTCGCAGAAGAAAGCGATCAGCTGCGTGCACTGCAAATATTCACCGGCTCTGACGACGCATGGGGCGGCTTTGCTGCAAAGTACATCGACAGGATTAGGGACGAATATGGCAAGAAGTCCGTCTGGGTTTGGGCCATCGAGAACGGAAAGAAGGTCGATCGGGTGAGTACTTCTACGATATGTTCTAGGTCTATGTGAAGCTTACACTGCATCATATGGCAGCAAACTCAGTTCAAGAGGGATTTGAACAAAGCTCGGTCTGTACATGCCATCTCCACACAGGCATCGCTGTATGCGCCCATTATCGACCCTCCAAGTCGAATCCCCCGATCTATCTATCTCGATCCTCGATCGGAATGGTACACTTCGGCCTTGGTTAGCACCGCCATGGAAAGCGTGTCACTTCCCACGCGACTGCGTCCATATCACGACTTTGAGGCGTCCCTGGCAGGTGATGACAGTATCCATAAGATATTCGAGCTGCAATCTACGATCGTGCAGGATGGTGAAGATGCCGCCAAATCGCCTACCAAACCATCGGATGATAGTGATGAGAAAGAGCCTGGAAGCTCGCCGATCAAGAAAGACTTTGATCTGGACTTCACCTACGATGGGCTGACCTGCCAAAAATCCCACCATGTCTTCAACCAGCTTCAAGTTTCACGGGGAGTTGCCGATCGTGAGAATGAGTCGGGCGGGGAGGACCAGGGTATCCTCCGCAGAAAACGACACTTTAACTCAGAACCAATGTTCCAAAGGTCAGACAAGCCCGCTGAACTCGTTCCATGCAGTCACATCGTTAACATTACATATAGGTTTCATACGACCCTACCTTTCCCGGTACTGGACAGCTTCCCTCAGAATTTGTTCCCGGAACTCAGATCGAAGGAGAGAATCAGTATTCTTGCCGCATTGACTGTCTCTTCGCGAACGGCAGAGAGACTGAAAGTCTATGAGACATTGGCTGGACGAGTGGCTAGCGTGGATGAGCGGGAAACTTTAGTCAATGGGTTGGGCGAGATCCGCGAGACATACGAGACAGGATGGATGAGCGATTCTGACTTCGACGATGACTAGCCATATAAGAAAAAAATATAGCTCACACTTGCATCGTACTTGTAACATCATTGATCACACCTTGCAGATGGAAATATCTAGTTGGACCCTGAAGCAGCTGGTTCCTTTTAAGCACGCCGATCGGGGCGGCGATCGGCGGGGGCAAACAGAACAAACAGCGAACCGGTCGGCCAAACGTGGCCTCTGTGCAATCATCGCGCCTTTCATTCATCGCGAATCTCATTTCTTGGTCCTACTTTCGCTTACTGCCAGGTGGCCAGTAATTCCAACTGTGATTGTGGCCTAGATGACTCTGTCGTTCTAGATCTTGCGTACGTGGTCTATTTCCTTCCACATATGCTTCCCTCCAGCCAGCTAACCGGCTCATAGTTCACGACAGCTACTTTCACTATTCAGCCCACCTCCGGACCCTGAATCAAACCTATTCGATGTACCAATAGCTGTTTTCACCAATCGCTCTTTCAAATTATAACCGAGAGAAGAAAAGCTGTTACTTCATACATCGGATGGGGAATTATTGAATTTTTGTATTAAGCAGAAGGTATGCGACAATGTGTGGAGGACGACTATCAGGGACGGAAGGATTTACTGACTCTTGAAGCATCAGAGTTATACAGACCATGGCTCCCGGCAGCCAGCGACGGTCCTATGCCTCGCTCACTTCCCTCCCCGTACTCTCCCTAATTCTACCGTTTCTCCTCTTTGTCCTCAGCTTTCCTTCCCCGGCCGCGGCTGCGGGTTCCGCAGTCCTTGGTATCGATGTCGGTACAGAGTACCTAAAAGCTACGCTCGTCAAACCCGGAATTCCGCTTGAGATTGTTCTCACCAAAGATTCGAAGCGCAAGGAGTCGGCCGCTGTAGCGTTCAAGCCTACCCGCGAGGCCGATGCCTTGTTCCCCGAGAGATTCTACGGTGGCGATGCCTTGGCGCTAGCGGCACGGTATCCCGATGATGTCTACTCGAACCTCAAGACTCTGCTTGGACTTCCTTTCGATGCGGACAATGAGTTGATCAAAAGTTTCCACAACCGCTATCCTGCCTTGCGCCTGGAAGAAGCGCCCGGAGACCGTGGCACGGTTGGCCTGCGAAGCAACAGACTGGGAGAAACCGAAAGGAAGGATGCCTTCCTTGTTGAGGAAATCCTGGCCATGCAGCTGAAGCAGATCAAGGCCAATGCCGACACTCTGGCTGGAAAGGGATCAGACATTACGGACGCCGTGATCACTTACCCGTCGTTCTACACCGCCGCGGAGAAGAGGAGTCTGGAATTGGCCGCGGAACTGGCAGGTTTGAATGTCGATGCATTCATCAGCGATAATCTTGCGGTCGGGTTGAACTACGCAACCAGCCGCACGTTCCCCAGTGTTTCGGATGGCCAGAAGCCCGAGTACCACATTGTCTACGACATGGGCGCCGGCTCTACAACTGCCAGTGTCCTTCGCTTCCAAAGTCGCTCGGTGAAGGATGTGGGACGATTCAACAAGACCGTCCAGGAAGTCCAGGTTCTGGGAACCGGCTGGGATAAGACTCTTGGAGGAGATGCCCTGAACGATCTGATTGTTCAGGATATGATCGCCAGCCTCGTCGAGGAAAAGAAGCTCAAGGACCGGGTTTCCCCGGCTGATGTCCAGGCCCACGGAAAGACCATGGCGAGACTCTGGAAGGATGCGGAGAAGGCTCGTCAAGTTCTCAGTGCGAACACTGAGACGGGCGCCTCTTTCGAGAGTCTTTATGAAGAGGATCTCAACTTCAAGTACCGTGTCACCCGCGCCAAGTTCGAGGAGCTCGCGGAGCAGCATATTGCACGTGTCGGAAAGCCCCTGGAGCAAGCTTTGGAGGCTGCTGGACTGCAGTTGAGCGACATTGACTCCGTTATCCTTCACGGTGGCGCCATCCGCACACCGTTCGTGCAGAAGGAGCTCGAGCGGGTTTGCGGTTCTGCCAACAAGATTCGTACCAGTGTCAATGCGGACGAAGCCGCAGTGTTCGGCGCTGCCTTCAAGGGAGCCGCTCTGAGCCCCAGCTTCCGCGTTAAGGACATTCGAGCAAGTGATGCCTCGAGCTACGCTGTCGTGCTCAAGTGGGCTTCCGAGTCCAAGGAGAGACAGCAGAAGCTTTTCACTCCCACTTCCCAGGTCGGCCCCGAGAAGCAGGTTACCGTGAAGAACTTGGACGACTTTGAGTTCAGTTTCTACCACCAGATCCCCGTCGATGGCAATGTCATTGAATCCCCAATCCTGGGTGTGAAGACACAGAACCTCACTGCCTCTGTCGCTAAACTGAAGGAAGACTTCGGTTGCACGGCTGCCAACATCACAACCAAGTTCGCCATCCGCTTGAGCCCTGTCAACGGACTTCCTGAAGTCGCTAGCGGTACCGTCAGCTGCGAGGTGGAGTCTGCCAAGAAGGGAAGCGTGGTCGAAGGCGTCAAGGGATTCTTTGGCCTGGGTAACAAGGATGAACAAGCTCCCCTCGGAGAGGAAGGCGAGCCGAGCGAGTCCATCACCCTTGAGCCCGAGGAGCCTCAAGCCGCGACGACTTCCTCGGCAGATGACGCTACCTCCACCACAACTGCCAAGGAGAGCAAGAAGAGCACACCCGCAACCAAGCTGGAGTCAATCTCTATCAGCTTCACCTCATCTCCCCTGGGAATCCCCGCCCCCACCGAAGCCGAACTCGCTCGCATCAAGAGCCGCCTGGCTGCCTTCGACGCCTCGGACCGTGACCGTGCTCTGCGTGAAGAAGCCCTCAACGAACTGGAATCCTTCATCTACCGTAGCCGCGACCTAGTCGACGACGAGGAATTCGCCAAGGTAGTGAAGCCCGAGCAGCTGATCACGCTGCAGGAGCGAGCCTCCGAAGCCAGCGACTGGCTGTACGGCGACGGCGACGACGCAAAGACCGCCGACTTCCGCGCGAAGCTCAAGTCCCTGAAAGAGATCGTCGACCCAGCCCTCAAGAGAAAGAAGGAGAACGCGGAGCGCCCGGCCCGCGTTGAGCTCATGCAACAAGTCCTGAAGAACGCCAAGTCCGTCATGGACGTGATGGAGCAACAGATCCAGCAAGACGAGGACCTCTACTCCTCCAGCGTCGCAGCATCCAGCTCTTCCTCTTCCACAACCGAGTCCTCGACCTCCTCATCCACCACCACTGAATACTCTTCTTCCGTCGACCTCGACGAAGACCCCTACGCCACCACCTCCACCTCATCCACCACTAAGACCGCCTCGGCCACCACAACCCCCAAGCCCAGCGGTCCTAAATACTCCATCTTCCAACCCTACGACCTTACCAGCCTCTCCAAGACCTACGAATCCACCAACACCTGGTTCGAAACTCAGCTCGCTCTCCAGGAGCAGCTCACCGTGACCGATGACCCGGCCCTCCCCGTCGCCGAACTCGACACCCGTCTCAAGGAGCTCGAGCGCGTCCTGAACCGCATCTACGATAAGATGGGCGCGGCGGCAGCCAAGTCCGGAAAGGAGCAGAGCAAGAAGAACAACAACAACAACGGCAAGTCGTCGAAGAAGGAGAAGGCTAAGGCGCAAGAGGAGCAGAAGAAGTCTGCTAAGGAAGAAGAGCAGAAGGAAGATAAGAAGGCTAACCGCAAGGATGAGCTGTAAATCGAGCGGCAGCTTGGTCTTCTGATTTATGGGAATTGAGGTAATCGGTTCCCAGAGAAATAAAGTAAAAATACTAGGAGTTCGGATTGAGCGTTACTACTGCCACTTTCGTTGTTTTTTTCTTGTTGTGATGTGATGAAATCATTTACACGCTGATTGAGGAAGTCCCTGTCGGGGGTCATTGGTCGGTGTTATGTAAACTATACTACTATAGATAGAATTGACTTGACTGTTCATTTACACTTTTTTTTTTTTTTTTTTTTTTTTTTTTTTTTTTTTTTTTTTTTTTTTTTTTTTTTTGGGAAGTTTCTTTGATTTATTATTTGATGCAGTCCAGATTCAAATCTGTTGCATGGGTGCTGGCTATTGTATTAGCCTAACTAGGAAGGTTGAACAGGTAGAGTCATCACAATCGGGTTATATGTACAGGGTGCTTGATAACAAACAACAAGAATGTAGAGCAAGCAGGGGCCAAGTAAGAATATGCATAGAAAAACAGACAGACAGACAGGGCAAAGAAACACAACGGGCGAAATAAAGAACAGTATGCATGGCGCATCAATTCATCCACCCGGCTTGTCTTCCAGCACATAGAACCAGCCTATGGCACTCTGTGTCCACAAGGAACGTTGCACGCAACCGAAAAGCACAACAGATAATAGTACAACCACCCAAACCCAGCCCAACCCACGTTAACTCCGGCTAATAAGATAATCCAGAAACGACGAGAGAAATGATGGGAAAGCCCCAGCAATAGTAACAACACGTTTAGATCCCACCCATTTCAATCTCCGAGCTTCGACTCACAGAGCCATACTCCATATCCACCTCCTCGCGACTGCGCAAGAAGGAAGCCTCCTCAAAGTCATCAATATCCATACCCATGCCCTCGGAAATAGTGGCATGTTTCCGCAGCGTCACGAACCGTCTTCGCTGCTGATTCAACTTGGGCGCAAGGATGGTCCGGCTCAGAAGAGTAGCATTGTGTGTAGATAGATCCAAGCCCGAAGCAGCAACGTCATCGTCCTCACTATCGTCGAGGTCAAAGTCCATATCATAAGAGCGTTTCTGACCACCGGCGTTGGACTCCTGGCTGCTGGAGGGGAGGGAGAAAGCGTCGCCTTCGTCATCGGTGATAAGGTTCATGGGTGCGGAATGACTGCGCATGCCGCTGTAGGGAGCCAACTCGGAGAAACTGGGGTCGGGCTTCGCCAGACGAGTCTTGTATCCCTCTGCGACGGATTTGCGAATGCGCATGCCGACGGAGAGGAGGGAGGCTTGGACTTTGGTGGGGACGATGGGGGTGGGGGAGCAGGTTGCGGCGGAGTAGTGGTTGTGAGAGAGGTGGTGGGTGCGGTCGGTGGTCACGTTGTCATTGTCTTCTGGGGGAGGTGTAGATGTAGTTGAGAAGAAGCTAGTGATTGGTGGCTGAAAGCGTCTGCGTTTGGAGGCCAGGTCGGAGGCCTTGGTGGTGGTGGGGGGGGACTGGAGGGAGGGGGACATGTTGGACTGAATTGGATAGAGACAGACGGGACTTTTGTCTATGCGGGGAGTGGAGAAGTTGTAGTGGTCTAGTCTGTTTGTATGCTCGTGGGGGACCACTTAGGTCTAAAAGGACGGCTTCTGATTTGACAGGAGATATAGTTTGGAATGTGCGATGTAGTAAGAGAAAATGCAAGGGCTGTGGAGGGGAGAGGGGGAGAATAGAATGTCTAATAGCAGAAGAGGAAGAAAAGAAAAGGAAGAGGCTGGGGAGGGAAAGAACCTGAGGCACGGAACGCGACGCGCCACGACGCGCCCGGCACGTGTCACTTGTCAATTTATCCTCTTTGGGACTGACATGGAAATACTCCATATTCCATGGATTTGATGGAAGTGCACATAGTTAGAATATTTGAGGTAGTCTTTGAACTACGGATTATATCCTAATAGTTTTGTGGGGAGTTCACATAGTTACTAGAACATGTCTAATAGTTCGGTCATTGCAGAAGAGCTCTATATACAAAAAGGCACGCTTTTTAGGACATCCAAAGGAGATGAACCAAGAGGCTCGATGATACAACAGTAACTAGAACATGGAACGAAACAATAGATCTACGATAGGGTATCACCATATATACCTTAACCAATGTTTCCTCTGCGACCTCCCCGCTTGGCCCGATCATGATGAGCCTTGAGAACGGCGCGGGTTTGCACCAAACTCCGCTTGTTCTTGCTCTTGGCCTTACCCAGGGTCATCAAGAAGTTCTTCTTGCGCGCCTTCTCCTTGTTGGTCGTACTCTTGCCCTGATCCTGCTTGCGCTCCTTGCGCTTGGCCGTTATACTCTTGTGCTCAGACCGATCAGTCTTGCCTTCCTTGGCATGAGCAATCCGCTCCTCGCGCGTGGCCTTGCCGGCAGAGAGAGCAGCCAGGCCCTCGATCTCTTCGGCCGTCAGAGGATCGTCACGATCACGCTTCTTGGCGCCTGGCACGAGTGAGTTGATGGCGGCTTCATTGCGCAGCTCCTGGAGCTTGGCCAGGTCAGCCGGGGTGAGAATGCGAGTCGTTGCAAGCTTGGAGAACTTGGCCTCAGCAGACTCTTCCTTCGATTCTTCCTCCTTCTCCGCCTTATCATCACTGCTGCTTTCACTGGATTTGGCCTTCTTGGCGGGAGGTCCGTCTTTCTCGTCCTCGGAATCGCTGATGTCGATTTCAGCGTCGCTCTGCACATTGATCCAGTCGCCCGAGTCGTCGCTGTCCTCATCATCTTCCACATTCCAGGATGCCCAGTTGTCCTCCTCGCCTTCCTCCTCATCATCAGAAGCATCAGAAGCCAAGCCCTTCTCAGCTCTCCTCTTCCGGCGCTCCTCCTCCTTCCATTTCTCCAGGAGCTCCAGACCCTCGATGCCACCGGCCTCTTGTTCCGCGAAGCGCTTCTCTTTCCTCTCTCCAGCCTTAAGGCCAATGGAAGCGTCCTTGCCGCGGTCCCGTCTCTTGAGCATCTCAGGGTTAACCTCCCGGAACAGACTAAGCAGACCTCGACCCGCCATCATGACACCCTTATCCTTACTCTTACGGTACATGACAAGATCCTGCAACAAGGTCTCATTCATGGCGAGTGGCTGTCGTGCGCAAATCTCTCGGATAGCGTTAAGACCGGCCGATGCGACCTCAGATGCTGAGGCTTCCGAGACGAACTCATTTGCGATCTTCTGAACCAAGGGCTCCAGGTCATCCGGGGGGACCAGGTCGTGGGATGCTTGCGCCAGCGAAGCCAAGAACGACGTGACGGATGGCTGACGGGGAGTCAGGAATTTCTGGAAGTAGGAGTAGAGGTGCATGATATGCAGTTTATGCAATCCGACAAGGCGGGTCACGAGCTGAAGCACCATAAGCTTTTGGTCCAAGTTGAGCTTGGACTTGGTGCTCTGCAAATGCTTCGAGAACAAGGACTCGGCGTAGCCCTGGGGATCGTGGAGAAGATGCAAAGCGGAGAAGTTCAGAGGATGCGGCTGGTTCTTCTTGCGCTCCCTCTTCTTTACGGTTGCCTTGGCCTTCTCAACCGCACGGGACTTCTTTCTGGTCTTCTTGTTGATGCCGACTTGATGCTTTACTCGCCCCAAGTCAATGGCTTCTTCGTCACTGCTCTCATCTTCCATTTCCTCGCGCTCTTTGTCACCACCCAAGAAGAAGCGAACACCGCCAACGATGACTTTTTCGTTCGATGCCAGACTGGCTTCCTTCATGACCTCAACAGCCTTGGCATCGGTCCAGATCTGGCGCTTCCACAGTTCGCGCGTAAGCTTGATAGCCCACAGGCCCTTAGAAGAAGTCCGGTCCGACGTCACCAAGTTGAACAGGACGGTCTGCATGGTGCGGTTAAGCTTGTGGTTCGTGGTCTTCGCATTGGCCTGACGAAGGTCCATGAGGATCTTTTGGAAGATCAGAGCTCGTAGGGTTTTGCTGGGGGTGGAAATAAGGATAGGGAACAGAGTCTGAAGCAATCTGGAGATATGATGCCAATTAGCAACCAGCCACATGCGCATCTCGCAGTCTATGGATAAACATACGTCGCCGAGTCCAACAGTTCCTTCTTCCTCAGAAGCACCAAGCTACCGACGATCTTTTCGCGCAACTCCGGGTGAAGGATCAGATGGTGCTGGCTCAAGATATCCATGAGCTGCTGAGGGAAGTCCTTCGTAATCTCGGGGTAGCAGTCGGCCACATGAGCAATGAAGTCGATCAATTCTCGAAGAGATATCAGACCCGTCTCTGTGGTCGACGAAGGCGCGGTCATGAAAATTTCCCGGTGACTCTCATATTGGTAGTGCTGAGCGCGGAAGTCTTCAATGTAGGATCTTCACCAGTAAGCGACAGTTAGCAAGCCATTCTGATATCATTGACGTCTAATCGCATTGTTCATAGTGAAACATACTTGGGATCTCTCCGAATCTTGTGCTGAAGGTTGGGCCTATGAGAAGCAGTGAGTTAGCGACAGGCGAAATTCTTCGTCTTGGGGAGGGGGTCCGTAGCCACACAGCGACGGTATAAGATCACTTACAGATCAGCCTCGACCTTTTCCAAGGCTCCCAACTTTCTTTTCACCATCTTTGCGTATTATAGTGGTGAAACTGAGGGGATGAAGTGGGTGGTTGAGGGAAAAGAAAGGCGGGCGACGGTTGCCAGGGCCGATAACAGAGCCCCGAACATTTTTTTTTCGCAGCGACGGGTCTGGCCTATCGATAAGCCGCAGCCAGCCCTTGGGACTTGCCAGCACGGGCACTTCTGCACAAGGACTCTGATTATCATGGTCTCTGCAATATTAAGCGTTTACGGGTTGTAATCTACTGGGAATCTAGAACACTTTATTTGTGCTCCTTGACATGTTCATCAAGTGTTTGGAGTCTACGTTTGCGTAGTTCGTCGCCACATCTGAGGTGGCAGTGGAACAAATGGTTGAAACAGGGAAATCTTTTTCGTGTAAAAAAATAGATAAAGGTATTGACTTCACAAGCCAGAGGTCTTCATGATCGCATCTCAACTACTGTAGAAGAAAGCCGTCCGATTCTCTCATTTTTAGGATCTCGCTCCCTCCCGTGACTGTTTTCAGGTATGTACAGTCGCGCAGATGCATGCAAATCGACTGAATCCTAATAAACCCCCCGTCCACTCCAGTACACGCAAAACCAGGACCAAACGGAGAATACGCCCAAAATTCCCACTTTACCGGTTGGACTTGGCAACACGCTCGAGCTCGTCCTTCTTCTTGATGGCGTAGGAGTTGGAGGAACCCTTGGCGGCGTTGATGAGCTCTTCAGCCAGGCACTCAGCAATGCTCTTGATGTTACGGAAAGAGGCCTCGCGAGCACCGATGGTCAGGAGGGCAATAGCCTGGTTGACACGGCGGAGGGGAGACACATCGACGGCCTGACGACGGACGGTACCAGCGGAACCGATACGGGTGCTGTCTTCACGAGGACCGCAGTTGACGATAGCGTCAACGGCGACCTGGAGAGGGTTCTGGTCGGTCATGATGTGGATCTACAAAGGATTACCCGGTTAGTTTTCTGTGTCTGGTTCTGTGGTTTGCGTTCCCTAGCCGTTCTGCGTGCAGAAGGCATTGGAGAATATGAGAGGTGACGTACGATCTCGAAGGCGTGGGCAACGATGCGGACAGCCATGAGCTTCTTTCCGTTGTTGCGGCCGTTCATCATGAGGGAGTTGGTCAGGCGCTCGATGATGGGGCACTGAGCCTTGCGGAAACGCTTGGCAGCATAGCGGCCAGCGGAGTGAGGAAGGTAGACAGGGGAGCGGATCTGGACGTAGTCGCTATTGAAGGTGAAGCCGAGTCAGCAAATCTCGTTTCTGTGCCAATTCGCAAATTTTTTTCCATCGTGATTCCCTTCGCAGATATCCCATTTTGTCGTGCGTTTTCCTCCGTGCATGTCGAGTCCATTGTCTCCCAACAGATACTGGCGTTTTCCACCGGTCGACACAAAACCCATGCTCGTAGAACAATCAAAATCGCGATGAATTGGGGAGCACCTACGTCAAGGAGATGTCCCTGATCTCAACATCCTCGTAGCTCCACTTGTTGAACAGCTTCACGGATCCCATCTCCGCGATAGCCTCCTTGGGCAGGACCTGGAAGGCCGCAGCGGGGTTTTCGACCTCGACTTCGCCGTGTTCAGACATTTTGGTCGACGTATGCACCTGTTGCCGAGGGAGGGATACGTGTAGGTGGCGGACGGTGTCGTTGGTGATCCTTCAACGTCGACGAATACAGTCGGGCGGCTGAAATGTGTCGCTGAGCGCAAGGAAATTCGAGGTGCGCCTCGCTTAGCGGGTGGTGGGTTAGGGCAGGACTGACCGCCAATGGCGCGGGTGGTGTCATGTGATGGTCACATCTGGATTCTGGCACCCTACCCCAAACTAGGACTAGCGCTGGATGCCCCTACAATACTGTTCACCAATGCTCCGCTTCCAACCCGCCATATCATACATGGATCTAGATGCAATCTTA